GAGGTTACTAAGACAGTCAGCTCTTAAATTTAACATTTCACACGAGTACATTTTAGGTTGCATTTCATACTCAGCAAAAGGCTGCCCTCCAAGGTTCCAGGAGAGGAGGGAAGGAGGGAAAGGAGAGGTCCTCAAGCCCAGTAGCACTGAGACTTCAGTGATGACCAAGGAGTCCAGCAGTGCAAGTATCCCCAAGGGGCTGGCAGAGGCCCCAGGGGTGGAGGGACCAGCAGCTTGGCTTCTCTGTTGTGCTCTCTGCAAAGGGAAGGGATGGTTTGGGAAGATCTCTTAGAACTAGCTCAGTCAAGCGTAAAGCAAAACAAAACAGAAACACACTCCGGGCCACCTGCAATCTTGTCTTTAGATTTCAGCCTCTTTGGGACCAGTCATAAGACATCACATTTTTCCCACAAAGAAATACACCTGGAGGGATGAATAGTCCCCCAAACAATATAAAAGTCTGATGAAAACATTTGCACAGAAAAACAGGAAAAAGACACAACTGTCTCATATACTTTGTGTGCAAAAAATATGATTTTATTTCTTAAATATTTTATGTATTTTGGAAAGAGAGAGTGAAAATTACACGGTATTTTCTCACTCAGGAAAATAGATTTCGCCACTGTGAAAATCTTGTTTTCAGCTTTGCAAACAAAACATCACCAATTCTGTGGCTCAAACAACAGTCAACAGTTCAGCGACATCTGTGCAGGAACCGCATGACTGGACTCTGTCCCGGGTCTCAGGGCAGAAACCCAGGTGTCAGCCAGCGCTGTGACCTGCTGTGGCAGAGTGTGCCTCCTCGCCATTGCAGGACTGACCTCCTGCTTGTGCCAGAGATGAGGGAAGGACAGCTTCCCAGGCCTCAGGCCACGGTCTCTATACGCAGTGCACAAAGAAACGCTTCCCCTCTCCTGGGCCATCAGGCTTTTAAAAATCCTCTGTGATTTGGTTAGGCTTGGAAAGATAGCGCTTTCTCCCCGCATTGGCAGCACTAGATTTGAACCCAAGAAGTTCTGAGCTGCCTTTCTATCTGTGTCTGTCTGTCTGTCTGTCTGTCTGTCTATCTATTCTTTCTCTCACTATGTAGCCTGGACTAGTCTTGAACTCGTTATGTAGCCCACCCACTCTGGCATCGCACTCATAGCGGTCCTCCTGCCTCAACCTCTCACCTGCTGGGATTACAGAGTGCCCCACCACACCCAGCTGTATTTATTATTTTTGTTGTGCTGGGGATTTAACCTAGAGCCTTTGCACTGAGCTGTATTCCTTCGTCCTTTATATTTTTTTAATTTTTGAGGGAAGGTATTGCTAAATTGCTAAGTTACCCAGGCTGAATTTGAATTTGTTTAACCTGCCACTATACCTAACTTTATTTTTAAAATTTTAATTATAATTTTTTATGGTACTTGAGATTGACTCCAGGGTCTTTGAACTGAACTATATTCCAATAATTTTTAAAAATTATTTTCATTTTGAGATAGAGTTTTATTAAGTTACTAAGTTTCCCAGAGTGAGCCAAATCTGTAATCCTCCTGCCTCAGCCTCCAGAGTAGCGGGGATTACAGGCATGGACTGTGACTCAGATCTATTGTCTATTCTTAATGAAGGAATGCAGCTGGCTGATAATCTTCTTTCCTTACAGTAAACCGTGTTACATGACATAATCTCATCACAAGGAAGCATTTATAACATTCATAGCCATGGGCATTATGTAGGGTGTGTAACGAAAAGGAAAATCTTGGGCACCAGCCGTTTTGTAATTGTTCTCACCACATTCTCTCCACGTTCTCTCATTAAAGCCATTGTTAGAGGAACAGCAGTGTCTTAGTTACATTTTGTGGTTGAGACAGAATATCCAACACCCAAAGCTAAAGGAGAAAGGTTTGTTTGATTCACAGTTTGTAGAGTTGGCTGGCTACACGGTGGGGTGGCATGGCAGAGGACAAACAGTCCATGGCATGGCAGGCAGATGGCCCTCTTTCTGCCCTTCTATTCCATCCATGGTGCCCTCGAGGGCAGGTAGTGCTCACACCCAGGGAGGACCTTCCCACCATCCACACCCAGAACTATGCAGACCAGTCGTGGGCTAAGTCAGTAATCATACGCCCTTAATCCCAGCACTGCACACTTGGATGCCTGCATGAGGCTTTGGGGGACATCTAGACATAGCCATAACAAGTAGTGTCCATGTTTTAAGAGGTAGGGCTACTTGGAGGAACTAGGTCATTGAACCTGTGCCCTTGGGCAGAATTGGAGCTCTGCCTCTCCCTCCCCGCTTCCTCTTCCTCTCTCCCTCTGCCTCTTCCTCTTTCTCTCTCTCTCCCCTTTCCTTCTTGTCCTTCTTGGCACCATGAGGTGCCAAGCCAGCACAAGGTTCTGCTTTACCACAGGCCCAGAAACAACAGGACCAACGAACCAAGAACTGAAACTTCTGAAACTGTGACCCAAAGGCCATCACTTCTCCGTGAGGTTGCTTTTCTCAAGCATGCGGTCACAGTGGTAGGAAGCTGACACGTGATCCCTGTTCACCCTGGAGGACGTACCACACCACAGTTCTACAGCAAACTTCCTAAGCACACACTCTGCAGACACTTTTACTCCATGGTCCACCCCCCTGACCTGGGAGGGTATGGAACCCCGGGCTCAGACTTGCTGGGCAAGTGTCCTTGACAAGTACAGCCTTGTCCTGTGCTCTTCTCCTGTAGGAGGTTCTTGCTTGTTCTCTTCTCTAGGACCTCAAATTGTATCTCCTCAGCAAAGGAGGAATTAGTCCTCAAAATTACACATACTCCATTCACAAAGCACTTTGTTAGTGCTTATTATTATATTATTTATTTATTTTAAAGGAAATAAAACAGAATAATAAAATGGAACTAAATAAAACAGGAAGAAAAATACTGGATTTCCAAAACAAGGCAGAAGGCTAGTTGTTTTGGCCTTCATAGTTGCTAGATTGCATATTGTTATCCTCTAAACTAAAGCTCAGACTACCAGCTTTAGGCCTGCAAAGTCAACCAAACAATACAAGTATTAGTGTTTTTGTTTTTGTTTACTTCAGTAGCTATCACCTCAGCCTGTGTTCCTCTGAATCAGCTGGTTGCTCACGGGAGTGAGGGATAGGGGGTGGCTTGGCTCTTGGCTTCCAGCCTGCACGCCACCTGGCTCATAAGAGAGAGTTGGCTCCTTGGTTCTCCTCCTCCCAGTCCTTCGTGGTTGCCTCTGGCTCATGGCAAGGGGTCAGCTCCTTGGTTCTCATTCTCACCTGCGTGGCTAATATCATTATTACTATCTTTAGGTGTTTTAAGGCAGGGTCTCACTATGTCATTCAGACTACCTTTGAACTCGCTGTGTAGCCCAGGCTGGCCTTGTACTCACTATGGTCTTCCTGCTTCAGCCTCCCAAATGCTAGGATTGCAGGCATGTGCCATCATGCCTGGCTCCTATTTTTATTTTTAATGAGCACTGATATGCTGTAAAATTCTTTTAGGCAAGGCTCACATGTTTGTCTCTCTGGGGCTTTGTGTCTATTGGGCCCATTTCCAGGAGGGTGGCCTGGTGAGCAGATTGCTTCTTCTGGTTGGTGTGGTATTTCTTTTGCAGGATAATGTGTAACTGGGCTTTCCGAACGATGGTGCCATGCTGATTTTGAATGATTCTCACAAACGTTGGACAAAGGTCTAATTTGGGGACTTAGGCTGGTTAAGGTGCTGCTAATGCACGTGGGTGTATCGCTTCACCTACTCTCATTATCTGTGTTCTGAGGATGTTGCCACCTTCGATACAGAACATCCAAGAGCTACGGGGAGGCATCAGATGTGCTTGTGCCCATTCCCACCGGAGCTGAGGGCAGTCACACATCCTCCTACAAGCTCTGCACCACAGGCCAGCAGTCCCTTGTGCACCAATACGCTGTGAAGGCTTTGGAGATTATCCCTGTACCACACACCAGATCATTCTGGCTGATTATGCACCCTGGAGGAGGGCAAGACATTCCCTGACAAACAGGACTCTCACTTGCTTCTGCCTGGAATCCTTTCCTTGTGGTGGGTGAACCTGGAAGACATCGATTCCACGAATGTGATGATGAGGCCTACAGAGTTCAAGTCAAGGCACAGCTGCAAGGTGTGTGCTGTGTTAAAGCACTGCAAATTGACGAATTTAACATGAGTAGGTATCAGAAGTGTCCCTGTTTCCCGTAGTTACCTGTGGTTATCTTCAAAACATGCAGTGACATTCTGAGTGACCAAGCACAAGTGGGTGACTCGGGGTCCAAATCTTTGTTATGGTGTAACAAAGATTAAAGACATGGGAGCAAGGTATAGCAACGGGAACATACACATCACTTCCACATGAACACATCAGAGAGCCATAGCGTTATGACTAACGCCAGCACTGCTCTTTCTTATGCTGAAAGGTATGAAACTGGCAAAAAATAATTCGTCTAATAGTAAAACAAAAGAACTTATTCCTGGACCTGACACGAAGAGCTGTCACCTGGCTACCACAGAGAACCTTTACATACACTGATTAGACAATAAACAAACAATCTCATTCTTCTAAGTCATCATGAAAAAATCACAATGTGCACATCTTCTCGTGGGTTTTATGCTACACTTGAATTCAAAATGTCTATACAGACAGAAGCCCTGCAAAAAACCATTTGTCTAAGGTCTGCATACTGTGGTGGAGGCCCAGCCTGGTATTTTGGCAGGAGCAAGGATCCTTGGGCGAATTATAAGATGGAGATTGTCATTAAGACACTCATCTAGAACTTGTAAGAGATAAGTTTACACATGGAAAAAATGTGAGAGAACTGGGCAAAAGAACTAATTATTGCCAGGCATGGTGATACAAGCCTGTAATCCCAGAACTCGGGAGGCTGAGGCAGCAGGATCATTGCGAGTTTAAGACCAATGTGGGCTACAAAGTGAGCTCCAGGCCAACCTGAACTGCATAGAGAAACCCTGTTTCAAAGAGACAAAAAACCAAAACCAAACTGAACAACAACAAAATAACATTTATTGTGTTTGCAGGCGTGGCTGTGAACTTCCCTCATAAAAGAATAAAATAAAAATGGAATTAAGACAGGAAGTTTGGGGTTGAGAATGAGGTTTAGTGCTACAGAACTTGCTTATTACAATGTTCAAGGTGCTGGATTCAATCTCCAGAAACTAAACAGACAAATAAGAACAATAACCACAAAGAGCAGGAAGATTTTTTCCTCTGCACACAGTCTTGTGTTTACTCTGAGAGGACTGTGTGTAGCTAATACGTCTGTAATTGGATTTTTTAGTTGCCATGTTTCAGCAGAGTAAAATGAAAACCAAATGCGTTGAAGGACCTCTAAAGTAAAAAACAAGGTGGTGAGATTTCACAACTTGAAAGCTGTATAAATATTTGGCTCACCCAGTTAAGTAAGCAAAATGGCTTAATTATTTACTTCCATGCTATGCAGAAAAATTCAGCTCTGAGGAAGAATTGTGAGGGAAAAATTTCTAATTTATAAATCAAGGAAGCAAGACCAAATTTTCATGTTTGTCCATGAAGAACCAATTTAGAGCAACATCAGAATCTTCCAAAAAATAGAAATCATTACACATGTCTTTTGGAGATAACTTGTTCGTATGTGTCCAAAATTTTAATGATCTTACCTGCTAACCTAACATTTCCAGATTTAGTAATTTATTTTATAAAATATTTGCACAAATCTTCAAATGTGTGTAAAAATGTTTATTACTTTTCTGCTTGGCTGTCTGATAGACACTGTGTTAGTCTATTCCTGATGTTATAACAAAACACCACACACTGTTGTTTATAAACGGTAGAGATTCATTCCTCATAGTAGTATTTCTGGAAAAAGGAAGACAGTCATGTCGAGATTGCTGCTAATGCCAAAGTGTTTTAATATGAAAACATGGGAAAGTATGAGAAGAAGAATTAGCATTGACTCTACACTTAGATGTAAATCATGGATGTTTCTGTATCTCTGGAATGTATCATTTCATCTTGGTTTTGTGGCCAACCACCGCTTCAAACTGAATGTTCTGTATACGACTTATAGCTGCCAAGGCGCGTTCAGGAAGAAACCTACATCAAGAAAAAAAGCAGAAAAAATTCAATTTAAAACCTTTGATAACATGATCCCTGTTTGTTGTCAGCCTTTAAATACCCCAAGATTTGTTTGTATTGTTTCTCTCCCTGTCTCCCTTAATATTAATAGTTCATATTGTATGCATAGAGCAAAAAGAAAGACTGATCCATAACACTTTTCTTTTTTTATTTTTTAAGCTTGGTTTTTTTTTTTTTTTATCGGTACTGAGGATTGAACTCATGACCGCCTGCTTGCAAGGCAGGTGCTCATGCCGCTGAGCTAAATCCTCAGCCCCCATAACACTTTTCTTATTCTTGCGTCTTATTTTAGTAAAATTATATAAAATCTATGTCATCAATGATTGAAAACTGGAGTTCTGAACTTATTGCTGGAACCGTCAATTAATCTTCACGCCAAGAGCTCACAAGCACAAGAATCCATCCGTGCATCTCTGTACCTCTCTTAGGTACGCACTGAATATCTATTCTGCATTATGTAAAAAGATAAACTGAAGTGGTAAAAATAGCTACAGTCTCCAAAAGGCCTATTATTTAGCTGACTGGCTGGCTTTAGGCAGATACTGAAAAATATCAGGCTGAAACAGTGAGGAGGATTAACATGAGCTGGAAAAGCAGTGGAGTGCTTGAAAAGGACAACTTGATGTTTGAGGATGGATAAGGTGAAAGAATATGAGTGAACAGAAGGAGGCAGAAATAATGTGTCTTGCAAGAAAGTCATGGTGAAAATCACTTTGCAAGATTTGGTTCTGTGTCTCTTGGTGAGGGGTTGGAAGATTGGTGGGTGAGCAAAGTGGTGAGGAAGATCTGGCTGAGAGACACATAGGGAGGAAGAAAGCTTGTGCAGGACTTTCTACTACTCCCGCAAAGGAACCCCCGCAAAGTAACTGCTTCTACTCATAAAACTGTATCTCTCTGTAACAGGAGTTAAGTGTAAAACACTTGGTTTTCCCAGTAACACCTGCTTTTGAGACTCCTGTTATTTATACAGGGGTTCTGTTCCCCAACGCTCATCAGCATAAATATGTTTATGATGATGGTTATACGCAATGTCTTCTGTGATTGTAGGATTTCTCCACATTAACATGGCCAGTTTGAGTTCTGTAGAAAATGAAATTCATGGGATTCTTTCTGTCTTGTGAGTCTTGGGAGTTGGGGTCTAGGAGAGTAAAGCAGGAGGTTTTTCATTGTGAGATTCTTGGACTACAGAAGAAATAGTATAATATCATAGAAACTTTATTGTGATAGGTTAAAATGCATAATATAAACTCTGAGACAAACAGGTGACAAACAGCAAGACCATACCTTTAAATCCAACCGTGTCATAATCACATTAAATATACATGGTCTAACTACTTCAGTTAAAAGGCAGAGCTTGTCAAATGGATTTAAACCCCCTGCAAATCCAACTATATACTGCCTACAAGAAAACACAGCATCTGGGAACAAATGAGCTAAAAGTGAAAGGATGGATCAAAACATAAGATAAAATTAACCTGAGGAAGCTGATCGGCTTTGTTAACATGAGACAGAAGAGATTTGAAAAGAAAAAGAATTTTTTTAGTTATAAGAAACAAATTTTGAAAGACTCTACCAAAGTATAAAGAACATGTTTACCATCAGGGCATTATTGCTTTTTTTTTTTTTTAAAGTAAAGAATGTTGCTAGGAATCAACAAAATAATTTAAAAATGACAAAGCAGTCAATTAATCTAAGGGATATAAACCTGTATTTGTTTATATATTGACAGTGCTTTTAAGTATAGGAAGCACGGACTGACAGACTGCAAAGACCAACAGACAAATTTATAATTGTAGTTGGATGTTTCAAAGAGTTGCTCTCAATAATTGATAGAACAAGTAGACAAAAAATAGTAACGATATTGAATAGCTAAGCCACTCTGTCAGCTAATTTGACCTAATTAATATTTTTAGAACACTCAAAAGCAGTAGAATATTCATACTTTCCAGGTGCCCATGGAACACTTACCAAAACACACCATGCTCTGGGCCCTAAAGCGTATCTCAATAAACTTAAAATATTCAGGTCATCTAATGACTCACATTAGAACCTAATAATGGAAAGATCTCTAGGAAATACCCAAATATAGAAACAAAAAGATATGCCTCTACATAGTCCATCATACACAAAAGAAATTAGAAAATATTTAGAACAGACTGTAAATGAAAACAATATGAGATGTGTGGAACAAATAAAGCAGTACCCAGGAGGGAGTTACCAGAAAGAGAGGCCTGTTTCTGAAAAAATTTGATATATAGACCGTGGGATATTATTCAGGCCCATAAAAGAAGGAAATTCTGCAACTTGGGTTACAGAAGGATGACGGGTGATTTTACCCTACGAGGTATCCAAAATAGATTCACAGAATCAAAGGGTGGAACAGGGGTTTGCAGAGGCTGAAGGCAGGAGAACCGGAGAAACACTGATCAGTAGGTGTAGGGGACCCACAAGGCAAGGTCAGGACAAACGCCAGACACGGCCGGATTCGCAGGGCAACACCGCGTAGTGGTAAGTTTGAGGCCCCGCAGAGGCCAGGGCAGTGCACAGGGCACCTGGCAGGGGGCTCTGCCAGGGTGGCCAGGCAGCCTTTCACCCTGGCCCTTTAGTTCTCTAAACTTCTCACCACCTTCCAGGTCCCGTAAGCATGCGCAGCTAGCCAGCAGAAGTACCCTAGGCTGGGCACCCCCTGGTTATGCTCTCTCCCTGTATCGCTGTGTCAAACAGGCCTGATCTTTATGACCGTCAGTTCGCTTCCTCTTGCGTGCTTGGAGCACGACCCGACTGGATTAAGATGCCTGTAAAATCCAAGCGCAAACTTTACACAGGCCCATGTGATACATAAAGAAACCACAATGTGTCTTACATCAGGGCTGTGCGTCTGCTTTGAAATGATCTGATGCTGATCGATTTGTTCTACGCAGGGCCCAACTCTGTATATTTATATTTTTGAGAGGCAGAAAATTAAAAAGCTCTCTCCCAAATGCAACAATTTCCTTCCTCCAGACATCTTGGACAGCTGACAGACACCTGCCATGGTCATTTGGGATGGGTGGCACAGGAGGGAGTAACAGATAAACTTTCGGTTTTTTGCTTAAACAGTTAGAAAAATGCAATGTTGGGCTTAACACCTGACTAATAACCAATTGTGTAGTATTTACATGTAAGTGATAACATGGGTTTGTAACAGTTTTTTTGGTTGTTGTTGGTACCAGGGTTCAAACTCATGACCTCACACTCGCCAGGCAGGAACTTACGTCACTGAGCTAAGTCCTTGGTCCTGTAACATGAGTTTTAAAAGGGGAAAGTTTTGTTCTGTATATTTAGTTACTTTTCACAGAATAGATGAATTATGTAGTAAAGTAAAAACAAGATATAAAGGATAGTAAGATAACATTATGCTACTATATTTGACAATTTAGGTGAAATAGGAAAATTCCTTTGAAGATACATCACAAGGAATAAATAAGTAGGAATATCCCTTTGGTTATCAAGGAAATTAAATTTATAATTAAAAACCTCACTGAGAAAATCACAACCCAGTGGCTTTGCTAGTATTTAAGTATTGCAAATACTTAAGTATTAAGTATTGCAAATATTTAAGGAAGCTGGCCAGGTGGTACACAACACCTATAAATCCAGCTACTCAGGAGGCTGGAGCAGAAGGGTGGCAAGGTTGGGGACACCCTGGGTCACTTAGAGAGACTCTAACTTGTACCAAAATCAAATCAAAACAGATCAAAAACTTAGATGTGAAAACAGAAACACTAAATCTGCTGGAAGATGAATTAGGTAAAAGTTCTGAGGTGATAAGCCTAGGCAAGGACTTTCTGAACAGAACCCCAACTGCACAAGAAATAATACAAAGAATTAACAAATGGAATTACACCAAATTTCAAAGCTTCTGTACAGCAAAGAAAATAACCAGAGAGAAGGGACAACCTATGGAATGGAGGAAAAATTGCCAGCTACTCCTTTGATAAAGGATTGTTATCTAGGTTATACAGAGGACTCAGAGACACTCCCAAATAAAAGACCAGATCAAAAAATGGGCAGCTGAATTAAATAGACACTTCCCAAAACAGAGATACAAGCACCCAATAAACACGAAAGTGTTCAACATCTTTGGCCACTGGAGAAATGCAAATCAAAACAACATTGAAATTCCATCTTAGCCCAGAAAGAATGGTGAACATCAGGAATTAAAAGAAAAAACAACAAGATTTGGGGAGCTTGTGGGGGAGAAGGAACTCTTCTAATGTTGGTGGGGATATAAACTAGTATGGGAAGTAGAAAGGATCAAGATACAATATGTATAATTCAATTCCACATGATGAATGCGCTTATTATGTATCACAAACATATACCAATAATGCCATTAGCAATAGTATCAAAACCATGATATATGTTGGAATAAGTTTGATGGAAGACCTGTAAGACTTCCACACCAAATACCACAATATGCTGCCTACAGACTTCACAGAAGGTAATATAAGGAGAGATATGGTGTGTTCTAGGACTGGATGACTCACTATGGTTATGCTAGATCAGCTTTCCTCCAGTTGGTTTTCAGATTCAATGCATTCTCAACCAAAATCCCAGAAGGCTTTTAAAAAGTTGAGCGCGTATGAACTACTTCACTATACCGTTCTCTTTTTGAACTGTCACTGATTCAGCTTGGACAGTCTTCAACAAGGACTGGACAGAGATGGTAGCTAGAGTGGAAAAAGGAATCCTTCCCTTTCTTTAGGGGTGAGGCACTAATAGAAGAGTGAAGCAATATGGAAGCCATGTCACCATGCACTCCTGGGATGCAGGGTTTCCATAGCAACTTCCACAGCGGTCCCCGATAATAGTCCCATTTGTGTTTTAGCATCCTAGGAATTCTGTGTGGTACGTACTTCTCCAGTATCAGAGAAATGCTGAGATAGGATGGAACAAAAATCATTTTCTTATTGGTGAGTATCCCCTCTATCAGACTTCTTGCGACATCGTCTGTCTCTAACACAGGCCACAACCTGTAATGACAAAGAAAAAAGTTACTCCTGGTTTTAAAATTTCATTTAGTTTTTTGTTTAAGTGCTGGGGATTAACCTACCTGCTCACCATGATCTAGAATTAACACATTTCTGGATTCACAGTACAAATGCTAGCTCCGCCTTCCTCCACATACTAGTTTGGTGTCTGGTATTACAGTCTTATACTTTTCTACCCAGTAGGAATATTTCTTAGCTTACCCATTAAAAATATCAAAATAGTGGACAGAGGCCTGGGATATAGCTCAGTGGCATAGCACCTGCCCAGCAAGCCCGAGTTCCTCAGTTCAATTCATTACCAAAACCAAAAAGAAAATAGTGGAGAGGCATAAGATGGTAGGCAACAGAGGGCCCGGAGAACAAAGGAGAGTGGGTAGGATGAATCACGGGACGAGAAGGGGACAGGTGACATCTCACAGCCTGCTGGGGAGAGAGTATTCTCTAGCTAAGTGCACCCTCTCTCTGTGGGGGCTTTCCAGAGAGCTTGTTTAGAGGGCATTTAATACTTGAGATTTGCCTCTGACGTGCTTATCTTAGTTTAATGGGAATTTAAGATTTGCATATTAGAATCTTCCCTAACTAAAGACTAATTTGACAAACACTCATAACCACAGGCACAGTATAGAATGGCCCAACAGTGCAGATGACAGAAAATTAAAGTGTAAATGGATTTAAAATGTGCCGAAGTTAAGGCATCTAGCTGTGGATTGAAGTGGTTAGAGCAGTTAGGTGAGCGGGAAGCTTAAAATTCATCCCCTGAGATACTCTGCGGCTTACTGTAGATTGTTATGTACATCATTTCCATGGCATTGCATGGCAAGCCAGCAGAGAATAATGCAAACTAATATTTTTCTAAATTATTGAGTTCTTTCTTTTCTCTTTCTATTTACCTGATGTCTTCAGCCCAGTCTCAGGGCCAAACTGTCATTAGCACATCCATGTCTGCCCTTGTGAAGAAAATTCAGAAGCCCACAACCTCGGTGAGAACCGTCCTGAAACTGTCTGCCTGTCTGCCCCTGGGTTACCCTCAAACCCGACCAGCCAAGGTCACATTACCTGTACTTTTCTCATCTACTGTGCCTTCTCCAAGAGTGCCAGAGACTTTTGGAAGGCTTCTTAGACTCCACACCTGAGTACTCAGAAGAAGAATTTTTCTACTTTCCCCCTTAAGAGAACAGCTGGCAGCTGCTGTGGTATGTTGGGGTTTACACGAGGTCTTAAACAGCGCTGAGTCTAAGGTCTACAAAAGACTCCAGTGCAGGCGGAGACTCCAGCTGCAGTAGCTAACTGAGCCTACGCTCAACAGGCTCTAAGGTAGCCGAGTTTAAGAACATCAGTTAGCTATATTTAGAACAAATTCCGTTCAGTCAGAACTGGTATTCTGCCAGGCAAGCTGAATTCACGTTGTTAACCCACAGCAGAAGACCCAGGTCTGAAGCTAAGGACTGAGTTTCAGGGCTTCGATTCCACCTTTATGTTCTTCTGCTTCCTCTCTCTGGACACATTTTTCCTCTGTGGTGGTCTCAGATCCTCTCACTGAGACAAAGTTCTTGCAGCTATCCACTTTGACTAAGGACCTCAGGATTGATCTTTTGCTGCCCCTAGCAACACTTGCATTTTTAACAATCAAACAGTCATCACACGCCCAAGGGTATGTTCTACAGACCAGCACTTTCTTTCTTTCTTTCTTTTTAATATTTTATCTTATTTTTATTTTTTTCAATTCCATTTTATTTCAAAGAGTGAAAAATAAAATAAATAAATAAAAATTTCAAAGATGTCAGTCGGGTTGTCATCCCCAAATCATTCACCCAGAGCACAAGACATCTGCATTCAATTGTTTGAACAACACCAGCACAAGTCTTTCTCTTTCACGAACTCAGAGAAATCAGTAGTATAGCTATCTTAGCTATTTTTATATACATACAAATATACATGTACATATGTTTCCACTTCTCATGAGACAATACAATGTTTACACATGTGTTCCTGATTTATTTCACCTGTGAGTATGGAGACCAGTGTTTTCTAAACATGCTTCTGGACTTGCCTGGTGTGCTCCTAAAATGCAGCAAAACAGAATACCACACCTTGCCCCTAAGCTCCCTCAGCCTCCTGAGTCAGAATCTCTCAGGAAGAACTGCTGAACATTTATTTCTGGCAAGTTTGGAAAATGTTAGTGTGCTTTACATGAGCAGGGTGGCCAGTGCTGTGGATTATAAGAAGGGCACACACCCCTGCCATTCCATAGACTGTACTGGAAGAGGATGAGCTGTCAGAGGGATGCTAGGTAGCATTCACCTTGGAGACACCACTCCTGTGTAGATGACCCCCATTCCCACCCACAACCCTGGCCATGCCTACTGGTCAACCCACTGGGGTGTGGGTTGACTGTTCTCCTGGACACAAAGAAGTACCCGTTGCCCGATTTGTGGGCAGCCAAACACTCTTGCTAGTCCCTCAGGTGTTTATCCACTTCGTTTAAGTGCAAAGGGAAACTTAAAAACTAATACAATAACATGAATATGGAAGAATATATTTTGTTTCTCCATTTTTTTCAGCTGGTCTGCCTACAACCTTCTCCTATGGTTGTTACGAACTTCTTAAGCTCTGCTCCCATCCTGAACGGATTTTGACTTTACCTGGTGCTTGGGTTTTTGGTGAACCCGGTGTTCACAAAAACTGGGCAAAGACATGAGGTTTTGATACTGGTTTTCCCCAAGGCTTCAAGTTCTGCAGTCAGAGCTCTGTGGAAGCCAACCGCAGCAAATTTGCTAGAGCTGGAAGAGAATTATCAATCACCTTTAGCTACGGGTCCATGAGGCACTGTTATCAGCTTTCTGTGAGAAGGCAGGGAGGGGTGACTTTAGAATGAGACCCCCGCCCCGAACTGTGTACTTGGGATTTTTCCAAGAGGCTAAGTGGCCATTCATTTTCACATATGAATAAACAGAATTTTGATTCTGTCCAGTTTCTTTCAGGGGCTGGGGATTGCGCCCAGTGCTTGAACATGCCAAACTTGTGCTCTACACCTGAGTGACATCCCCACTTCAACTTGCCATTTGTCACTTGGATCTTAACTTTGTTGGGCACCAGGGAACTTTGGGTATATTGCGTGCAGCTGTGTGATTTATGTCTACATCTGAAGTTTGACTCTGCCATTTTGTTTTGTGTCTTTGGGTGAGTTCCATAAAGACCTTGTATCTCTGTCTCTGCTACACACACACACACACACACACACACACACACACACACACACAGCCATAGTATAGTCACACTGGAAAAGGTTTTGATCCAAAGCCACTGTGGGTGGCTTATATTGGTTTGGGGTACCTACATCATGGTGTCTATTTTCATTTTAACTTCTGTATGCTTTGCTTAAGTCTGTGTTTTCCCTGTTTCTTTTACCCTGCCATTCCAGGGTAGAACAGAAATATACTTGACCTGACTCTTTCCTTCCACTGCTTTACAAAGTTTTGAGGAATCTAAAACCTTTTGAAATAAAATTACTATCAATTTCATTGCTTTGGAAATCATTTAAAAATCAGTGTACCCTCGTGTATACATTCTGCAAATCCAAATTACCATGCCGCGAGCATTGGAACCTGATGCCTAACCTCTTTAAAGTACAGAAATACACAGCTGTGCCTGCAGGAAAAGCTCACCAGTATGGGATGAGGTAAGGAATCACGCCGTGGCCACACACCGAAGCCACTGTGACAATGTGGCCGTAATTTCTCTTCATCATGGATGGAAGAAGTGCTTTCGTGATCTTCAGGTCAATGCAAAAAAAGAGAAACAGCAACACAGGCATCAGGTCTCCAGACGAGACACCTGGCTTTTCTTGAGATGGAATGGCATTTGAGAGGCTTTTACAGTGGAATGAAATGCTAGTCAGGAGTCCACACCACTTCTATTCAAAAGCCGGAAGTGCAAAAGCAAACTGCGTGGATTGGGCGCTGTTGAATGTGGTGCCAGGACCCCATCTTACCGTTCCTGCTGCCCTCAGGAGGGACCAGAGAGTGCCTTTGTGGGTGTCAGGTGAACATTATTGTTATCATTTTTGTGGTGACGGAGTTCAAATCTTGTGCCTCACATGTGCTAAGCAAGCACTTTACCACTGAGCTGTAACCCCAGCTCTGAGTATAAGATCAAGGAGCTCAGTTTTCAGGAATAGAGGGGCGCGCTAAATACTATGGTACTGTGTGACTGTGCTTGATTTTGAGCTTTTTCATTCCTATGAATGAATGGACCTGTAATTGACACAGGTGAGTGGGACAAGCTATGAGGGCTACATTGCCCTCAGCTGTTACCCCTCTCTCCCTATTTGTAATATTACATACTGTATATGTAAGTTCCAGGAAACAAGTCTTTTTCTCCAAAAAAACGTAATGCTTCACAAATCACAGCAGCATTTTTACATAAGACCCTATGCAAATCTGTAGAGCCAGAGCTGCCAAACCAAGCCACAGATCCCCATCCCACAGGCTGTGAGAGGAGATTGCTTATTTTTTGCTGCCTTTGAGGGGGGCAGTACTGGGGATTGAAAGCAGGGCCTCCCCCTGAGCTGCATCCCCAGCCCTTCCCACTTATATTTTGAGATAGGGTCTTGTTAAATTTTCCAGGCTGGGCTCAAATGTGTGATTCTCCTACTTTGGCTTCGCAGAGTGCTGAAAACTTTGGTATAATTTGTTTTGCAGCTGTAGATAAGTGGTATATGAGGTCTCTGTAGTTTGGTGAGCGTGATAACCAGCTCATATTACCGGGGGGCTGGGTAAAGTAGGGACACACATTTACTTTTTCCTTCTGTCTTCAAGAATCCAGGGTTACCGGACATGGTGGTGCATGCCTGTCATCCTTGCACTCGGGAGACTGAGGCAAGAGGATAGCCACAAGTTCAAGATCAGCCTGCGCTATACAGCAAGACCTCGTCTCAAAAAACCAAAAAGTGAAAGAAAGAAAATGCAGAGCTGCTCTAGATTTTATACTAATATTGAGGCCTCGAATATAATTTTTTTTTGTCTCTTTGAGAGAGTCTCACTATGCAGTTCAGGCTGGTCTTGAACTTGCAATGATCCTCCTGCCTCAGCCTCCCAAATACTAGGATTACAGGAGTATGCCACCACACCTGGCTAAGAAGATAAATTTTTTCTATCAGGGCGGTAGAAATTTGACCAGGAGAGTTGAAATTTGTGTTCAGTCTCCCACAAAAGTAACTAATTAAACCAGACATAGTAATCTCAGTACTCTGGAAGGCAGAGGCAGGAGGATTGCAAGTTTAAGCAGTTTAGCAGCTCAGCAAGTCTCTGTTTCAAATATTAAAAAAAAGGGCCGGGCATGTAGCTCAGTGCAAAGGTCCTGGGTTCAATCCTCAGTGCTGCACATAAACCAAACCCAACGAAACCAAACCCAAGTTCAAGAGGTTTCTGGAGTCACTTCCAAGTCCAGTATCCCATGGGTCTAGGACCTATTTGAGAGTTCTCCCCCCCACCCCCGAAAAGTGCCCATCGTCTGCATACCTCTGAGTACTACCTCTGCTGTCCTTCAGTTTTAAACCCCAGGAAAGGAGGCTGCTTATAGGCATGCAGTGTGTAATTTCCTCTGCTGCATTAAGAAGGTGAACCATGAGCCCCTCAGCAAACCTGGGGTCGGGTGCCTGCTAGGATTTGTGTTGGACACAATAAGAGACCAGTGGTTTACACTTTGGGGTGTGGTGCCCCGCTCACCTTGTGCCCTCTGTGAGGGCCTCTGTGGTTTTTCTACCCAACCAAATTAGACGAGCCCTGATTTACGAAAATACTTAGCCAGTTTCCTACTCAGAAGTAGATGAACTTGACTATGAACTTCATGTGTCTTCAAAGATGAACTCACCGACTCACACTCACCCAAAAGTGTGCGAGGATGTTGACCTCAAACGTCTTGGTGATTTCCTCATCCTTGGTACTGAGAAGGTCCGCTGGATATATTGCTCCAGCATTGTTCACCAAGATGCTTATGTCACCTACTTCTTTCTTGACCTTTGAAAATTCAGAGAATGCATTCATTGGGCGTGTTATACAAACTTCAGGTTTTAGGACTGCTGTCATCAAGGATTAGATTTTTTTAAATTTTACTAGGTGAGGTCTCTCAGAGTTTAGGCTTAGAGCTTCCAGGTCACACAGCGGGTGTACAGGGAAAATTGCCATCATTTTTTGTAGTACTGAGATGAAACCCAGGGACCCCACTTTTTCTTTTAACTTGTAGATTTCAGGACTCGGTATATCATGAATTTTGAAAGCTTATCAATGAAATATAATTAATAGCTGCTGATAGGAGAATCGTTAGCCATTTGTAGAAAAATGAGACCATAATGTTAAGTAAAAATAAATCAGATACACAAATTTAACTATTGCACAGTTTATCTTTTATGAGAAACTCAAAATATAAATAAAATGCAAAATAAAAGATAGACAATAAGGAAAAAAAGAGAGAAAAAATTATTTTAATCCGGCATGGCCCATGACTCTAAAAGTGTAGTTGATCTGGTATAATTATCATATTTATCTTTTGTGTTTTTTGGCCTGTTAGTCTGGCTATTAATACATGTTTATAATGACTAACTTGATAAAATCTTATAAATAAATAAAATGCTAGTAGAACAAACAGCAATAGTGAAAAGAGGGGAAAAGAATAGAGTTGTCTTATGTACATGTGCTGGCTGCCCATGATGAATGCATTGTATAATACAAATACGTAGCAATCAAAAATTGTGTTGCTAGATTGGTAAGTTTTCATCAAATCATTTGAAAATGCTGACTGAGTTCCACCACATGTGAGCTGCATGATCTTTGTCTGTTTAATTTTTCCAACCATTAATTTGCTTATCTATAAAATGGGATTATAGAATCACTGAATTAAAGAATGCCTAGTGTATTAGTGACTCACTGTGAGTACTTGATGTTTACTCTTTGGAAAGTGGTGGTAATTATTATTAATATTACACTTTCTGTAGAAGACTAAATTAACATCAAAATAAACCTCATGAAAGAACCAGTTAAAGTGACAAAATGACTGCAAAATATGACTAAAAACTAGAAAGCAGCCCATTTCGCCCCGTGGTAAATATTTTGCCAGCTGCTCTGAGGCACCACTTAAACACAGCGAGGCACAAGTGAGGGCAGAGCACAGCAGATGCCACGCAGAGGGGCAGCGTATCAGTGCTCCCGTCGCGCTGCTGTTTTGCTGAAAGGCTGCAGTCTACCTTAAAGCAGGTGGGTGGGATTCGGTGCCCGCGAGGGACAGCCACAAGGCCTCTGAGGTGCCAGGCCAGGGGAAGGCTCACCTGGGCCACCGAGCTGTAGATCTCCTCCCGGTCGCTGCAGTCCACCACGTAGGCGTGCACGGTGGCCCCAAGCTTCCTGCATTCGGCTGCTGTTTCCTCAACGCCTTGCTGTCATTGGGAAAACCAGAGTTTAGGGAAGGGCGGAGGAGAAAACACTGGCCAGGCAGTTTTTCTAAAGATATCTAAATGGCCTCCTTAGTGTGGCAAAATTTCCTTGAGGGGTGCTTGCCTCACCTGCAATTGGATTACACCTGACTTTTCTGCTGGAGATGCTCAGCTGAGCATGAGAGAAAAAGCAAAGAAAATGCCTCTCTGTTTCTATTTCTCAGCATTTTATCTTGGCCTGGAGGCTCTGTGGGAGGCAGGGTCTCAGAGGCAGTTACTGTCCTGGCCTGCAGCTGTGGCTCTCTGAGGGACAGTGAGGAAAGAAGATTCAGTGATTCCTGGACACACACTGAGCACTAACGAAGTAACAGGATGCAGAGTGCTGAGCAGCAGTTCTGTCTTAGGCTGGCCCTGAACTCATGGTCCTCCTGCCTCACTGTCTTGAGCACTGCAATCATAGGTGTATGGCACTAAGCACAACTTACGATTCTAAACTAGTAATTCTAAACTATGCCGGCTGCCCTTGGTATTTGTCTCAAGTATTCTGATATGGGCTTCTGTCAAGGACAGGGAAAGAGGAATCCTGATTTGAGAGACATGAGCATAAGCAGATCATGGGTCCACCTCAGGACACAGCCATGTGTTGTTTTTATGAGACAGGGCCTCTGTAGTTTACACTAGTTTTGAACTCACTCTGTAGCCCAAACTGGCCTTGAACTTGCAGTGATCCTCCTGCCTCAGCCTCCCGAGTGCTGGAAGGCTGACAACAGTATATTGTTCTGGTGGCTTGCAGTGAAATAGCCCAGGGCTGCTGAATGAATTCTCACTTAGGTAATAATCTTGCCTTTGAATCAGGGATGTGGAGACAAAACAACTTTTTTTTTCAACCTGGATTCCAAGATCTGTTTTCTAAGATAGAATTGTCCAGTGCTTCTCAAAATACATTTCTGGAAGAGGAGGCTCCTTTTGGAGTTGTACATATGGCAAATTTTACAACAAGGTTTTGACTGTGTTGTTTCCTTCACAATCTGTAAACTCTGTGGTGAAAAGGACAGGATGCTCAGTGTCCTGCGATGCTGGAGGGGCGCTGGAATTTGGGGGCTACCGCAAAAGGCAAAGACTAGCGCTGCCTCTCAAGGCCTCTCTGTTTCACTCTGGGGGAGCAGGCCTGGTTGCAGCCACCTGGAACCCCACAGAACAGACTTTAGCATAGATTGGGGCCACAGGGACAAAGCCAGTCCCCTCCCATGAGCCTCAGAGGGTTGTGAGGGGTGAAAGGAGAGGCCGGAAGGTCTTTCCCTGACTGGCCCCAGGTGGGCGCTTGCCGACTGACTGCCAGACAGCAGGAAGCATGACTGCTCTCCCTCTGTCTTCAGATTTGACGTCGTAGAAAGCTTGATAATCAAAGCTTTGTTTGCGTGACGCACGACTGCAGAATCAGAAATTCTCCTTTTACTGAGCTGGCACATGGCACAGTGCATGCCTGGTGGTTTTGGAAGTGAAATGTGGCTCTGAATTCAACTCCAGGGACATCAGCTCCACTGTGCTCCTAAAGTGGATTCTGCACACAGGTCTTAACACAATGTTCAGTTAACCGCCTGCCAGGTGTGACTGCAGGCATTTAAAATAGTCATTACTTCATCCTCTTTCCCAAGAGTTGGCAAACATTTTCTGCAAACAGCCACATAGTAAATATTTCAAGATTATGGGTGAGGAAAACTACAGGGGTTTCTGTGGGTTTTGTTTTAATAACCATTTAAAAGTCACTCATAGCTCACCAGGCCATCCATGGGCTGGATTTAGTCCTTACCTATCACTTACCGACTCCAGAGAATATCACGCCCGCTTCAGAGATAACAGAACCAAGGCTGAGAAGAAGTGTGTGACCTCTAATTTAAGCAGCTTGCAAAGAGCCCAGCTCTGCATCTTTGGTTATAAACCTGCACACTAAGACATAAAACCCACCACTCCATCTTGGGCATGTGCCCTTCCTCTAACTGTCTTGATGCACGTATTAATAAGACTCTGGAGACTAACAAAGTTTGAAACAAAGTCATGCAAAGATAAGCAGAGGCTAAACCGAGTGATTTACAGAAGTGGCCTGTGTGCTTGGTGACCTGACAGGACGGGCAGACACACGCAGTACCTTGTTAATGTCCCACAGGACCAGCCTGCTTTTCCGTTTTGCAAATTCGTAGGCGGTCAGTCTGCCGATTCCATGCCCAGCTCCGGTGATGAGGACGATCTCCCCGGCCACAGACTTCTTTCTCCGGGGGATGAAAAGCTTCACCAAGGACTCTAGGTAGGCGTAGGTGATGATGAACAGGAGCGAGAGGAGGTCCAAGATGATGTTCATGGTGCTGTGTCCTTGTCCTGAGGCTCTGTCCTGCGCAGTCCTGGGGAAGAGATGGCTCTGCCCGGGGCTGGGAGGAGCTGTGTGGTGGCCAGCAGAGATGGGGCTGGGCCAGCTGTGCTCTGATGGGTCACACACACTCAGGCTCTTGTGATCTCAACTGCCAGCGACAGCTTGGATCACAGGAGCACCAGGGGGATGCGCACTTTGGACCTGCTTATCTGAGAAGCAGTTGTGTACCTGCTTCGCCACAAGTGCTCTAAAAACACTTATCCAGGTACTGTATTGTATCAGCTAGCCGCTGATTGGCATCCTTTCTTTGTTTCTCTTCCTTCTTCCTTTCTTTTTGCATGGATGAGGATTGAATCCCAGGGGCTTGTGCGAGCTACATAAGAAACCGCAACTGATCTGCTTCTGCAGTTCTTTTCGTTTTATTTTGAGGCAGCATCTTGCCAGGTTTGCCAGACTACACTTGAGCCAGTGGCCCTCCTGCCTCAGCCTCTTAAGTATCTGGAGTACGAGTGTATGCCACCTGCCTGACTCTGTAGGTAGTTTTCTGTGAACCGTGTGTGTATATGCGTGTGTTTCTTTTTTATGGAGGAAAGAGGATAAAGTAGAGATAGCACCCTAAAAACCACCTAACACACAGGTCAGCAAACCCTCACCATTGGTCCACGTGTTCACAAAGACCCAGTGTCCGTGCTGTGCTTCCACTGCTGACCATCTCACCTGTGGCTCTCAGTTCTCTGAAACCTTCTGTGTTTGTGGGAGACTGTAGGTTCCACAAAACAATTCCCTTTGTTCTAACCCTGGAAAGAGCGTTAGACCAGCAGTCATAAGCCTCAGCTCAAAAGTGATGGCTTCTGTCTCATCTGTGCCAGTGGTTGGAACTACAGCAGACTTCGGGGCTTGTAAACAAGAAACCCATTTTTCCTGCTGTGGAGGCTGCAAAGTCCAAGACCCATGTGCGGGCACAGCTTCTGTCGGATGAGGCCTGGCTTCCTGGTTCCCAGATGGCTGGCTTTCCACCGCGCCTCACTGGCACAGGAGAGAGAAGGCTTCAGGGTTTTGCTGAGGATTGCCCCATGGCCACGCTCTCAGGAGGACGCACCTCCCAGAGGCCCGGGTTCTGACGTCATCTCATAGAGGGCTGGGAGCTCAGTGGATGAATTTGAAGGAACATATTGAGCCTATAACAGCTTCTGGTAGCCAGGACGGACATAGCCCCTGCAGTGCCTGGGTCAGCACTGCACACTGGAACCAGGTGTTAGTGAACCCCATGTCAGGGGAGCTGAGCTCGAGACACCCAGCAGGTGCCTACAATGCCACACTGCAGAGAGGGCACGTGACTGACATTTCAGATTGAACCTTGAGGGTTCTCTATTTAAAATGAATTCTTGTGGGGTTTTTTGTTTTGTTTTGTTTTGTTTTGTTTTTGTTTGGTTGGTTTTCTTTGGCTGGGAATCAAACTCAGGACCTCACACTTTCTGGGGAGGTGCTGCACCACTGAACTCAATTCCCAGCCCTTAAAATTAATTCTTGACTACCTCATTTTGGGTGCAGGCTTGCAGAGGTATTTACATGGAGCTGTTAAATATTAATACGGGGGTTGAATGAGGCCTTGCTCTGGGCTGCAAGGCAGAGATCTGTTCCAGGCTGAAAGTCTGACTGCGTATGCAGAGTTAAGGTCAGTGCTGTGTCAAACTCACACCGTTGAGAGACTTCTGAAAAGCAGCTTTAATATCCCCAAGTGAGGCCTAGATTATTAGCTTCAGGGTATTTGCATCATTCAAGAACTAAGAAACACTGGGAGAGTGAAAGGGTTGATGCTTTTAAATAGTGTGGATGCTGGACATGGTCAGCCTGGGAGGCACTGGGAAAACTGTCTTTGGTTTGTTTGTGTGTTTCCTAGCACTGTGACCTGTTCAGTTCAGTGATACCAGAAATACACGATCTGCCTTGATTTCCCCAAGTTTTGAAGTTTTTAGTTTGATGATCGTTCATTCCAGGATATTTTCGTAAGTAAAAATTTTCATAAACAAGATTCATTTACTCCAATTATGTTGTCAGTTGGCTGTGTTTTTTTGCTTTTGGTACCAGGGATTGAACTCACAAGCAGGCACTTGTGCTGCAGAATTAAACCCCCCGCCCCTAGCTGTGTTCTTCTGAAGGGAATGAAAGTACCTTGACTTTGCCGTTAATTTTTTCCATATCATATTTTAGTACAAAGCTCCCCTCAGTCAAAGTTTCTCAAGTAAGAGAAATTTACCTATAGGGTTCAGGATCTTATTAAACAGAAAGGCTTTCTGAACTGCGTCTGTTTTCTCTTCCCCTTGAAATGCTGTTGGTCCTCCCCAGTGCAGATTTCAGGAAGGCAGCTGGACACATGTCTGGAGTTGTGGAGAGTGACCCACCCTGGAGACCCAAATGAGGGGATGGCGACTGATCTTACATTTGTGATATGGAGTCACCAAACCAATGGCGATGGCTGTTGAATTTAATGTTGTTTAAATTCTTGTTAAAAAATAAATCTAATAGTAATTTTGGCAAGGTGAGACAAAAGAAGGCAGGTATAACTGCAGGCCTTTGGCTTGGGTGCTTGCTGGAAGTGTGATTCTCTGCAATGAACACAGATGTGGCAGGGAAAGTCTTTTTCTTTCCTCATCGAAGCAAGCTCAAAGAATGCTTTATTTACAAGGACCTCCAGCTTGACCAGGTACATGCTCCAGAGTTTCTGAACTTTTCCACTGTGTTTAGGAGCTGAGGAGCATAGCTGGCTTCCAGGGCTGACCTGGGCCTTCGCACAGAGAAGCACTTATGCGGTACTAGCAGGGATGACATATTTCCCTGACAGTGGTGTTGTGGCTTCTGCTCCTTGGAATTTGGAATAATCTGAGTCTGAAAAGCCAGTGCTCTCACTAAAGAGCTGGACAGATAGCAAAGAAAAATACAATATTGGGCAGCATATCTTCTACTAAAACAGTGATCCATCATTGATCTGAAATACAAATTCAACGGGGCATTCTGCATTCTGCCTGGCAGCTCTACCGTCTCCCATTCATTGGTTAATCAGCCCCCAAACCAGCATAATAAGAAGCAGTATTTCCTGAATGTGGACCATGTGCCAGATGCCATTGTAAACGTTTTGTCTACTAACTAGGTTAACACTTACAGCACGTGTGTAAGGTGGGCATTGCATCAGCCTTTGTTAGATGGGATGATGGAGGCACAAATAGATGAATAACCGAGTGAAGAGCCCAGGACAGGTCTGAGAGGTGGCATGCTTCTATCCAGCTGCCCAGCGGGAATAACCAGACCCTTCATTTCAGGGGCTGTTGAAGACTATATTACGAAGATGACAGAGCCGAATGGAAGCTGGTCCAAGTATGCCCCCATCCAAACCTGCCCACAGTTACTCCTATTCTCTGCTAAGCTTGACTTTAGGATCCAGGATGAGTTAAACAGACAGGTGATATCGTTAAGCTGCAGTTATTCCAGCTGGTTTTGCGGAAAGGTGCCAGTGCTTGGAAGAAAACAGAACCATCTAGGGGAAAAGCCATTCTCAAAACAACTCAAACAGAGCTCAGGCAGCAAAGGCTGAGCATAGCAGAAGGTGCAGGGAAATTCTTTCAAGCACCTTCCAAACATCACAAGTTCAGGAAAAATGAAAACATACGGTGCTGATACCTTTTTTACTTGGTGGCTAATAGCCATGTATGTTTAAAAAGCAGGTAATCCACATGTCCGGCCACTCACACTTAACCCATCAGTATATAGCTTGTCAGTTGATGTGCAGCAGGTAAACGTTCACAGCTTCTTGGCTACAAAATGCACAGGAAAAACTTGTTTTTACCTATTAGGTGCAAAATATTTATTTTAATAAGTAATTTTCCTTTATGAGGCCAGGAGTAGTGGCACACACCTGTAATCCCAGCACTTGGGAGGCTGAGGCAGGAGGATTGCCAAGAGTTCGAGGCCAGTTGGAGCTGCTGAAATGGAATACACGTGCAGGGCTGTGACACGGCCCAGCATGGCTGAACTGCGAATGAGGAGATGCCTCAGGGGGCAAGACAGGCCACAGCTGAGGCCACCTGGAGGCTTTCTCTTGGGATAATTCTCCTTAATTAGCATGTATGTTGCTCGGAGGGGTCCTTGAGGATTTGTTAGTGTATTGACTATAGCAGGTGGTTGAGTCTGCATTACATTGAGACAAAGATGAAAATGTGACAGATTTCTGAACTCTATGCAGTGGAAAATTCAAGGAAGATTTATAAATGCTCTGCAAAATACAATGTAGAGGTCAAGTTGGTTTTGGGAACTGCTGACCACGTATCAAATCCCAACTGTTGCCTGGGTCAACTTTAAGACATTTATGTAACTGGAAGTGAAGATAACATAGGAGATTATGTGGTCTAACAACCCTTTCACACATGAGGAAATTTAAGTCCAGCCACACTAACTCACAATACACTGCTGGGCGGGGATCAAACTCACACTTGCCAGGCAGGCATTTATGCCAGTGAGCTGAATCCTGGGCCCATGCTAAGTGTTCCTTTTGTGATACTAGGGCAACTGTAACTGTGGAGTAGCTATGTAAGTAAAAGATAAATCTCCCTGGCTTGGACTAGTCCTTCTAAACAACAAAACAGAATAAAAACACAAGGGCCAGGGATAGAGCTCAGGGGCACAGTGCCTGCCTGGCAAGTATAAGGTCCTGAGTTCGACTCCTGATACCAAAAACAAGGACAAAAACAAAAACACAACGCAACAAACAACAACTGGGAGTGGTCAGATTGGCTTTAAAATCAAGTGAAAATCCCTACCTACACTGGGCAGGAATTTGGTGTCTGGCGTAGGCTGGAACTTTCCTTGTGTTGATCAACACTTGGTTTGACTTCAGGAGACTTCTGGCTAATACAGAGATAGGCTGGACTAGACATTTTTCAGGTGAGATAACTGGCCACCTGCATTGTAGCATTTTTTTTATTTTAAAAGCAAAACAAAAGGATAGAAGTAATACAGGATTTCAAAAAAATGGTAGGAAATTAACAGTAGTTAATGTATTGCATATATACTTTTTTGTACCAGGGATCAAACTCATGACCTCTTGCTTGCCAGGCAGGTGCTTGTGCCACTGAGCTAAACCCCTGAGCCCCATACTGTATACTGTTATCTTAGAAGTAGTTGTTCAGATTACAAGATTTAGGCATAAAAAAAATGATCAAATGATGAAAGCACAGCTGCTCTTTTGATGCACTGGAGCGTTTTATCCCATTTGAAAATAATTCCTAGGTTGAATGATTTCAGTTTCTACTATAGACTTCTATATTGGGTGATGTGAAACTATTAGTTGAATTCCAAGGAAATCTTGGGTGCATAAAGTGTTTAGAGCCATAATCCACGGCTGAGAATCCCACCTATGCTGTATGATATTCAGGTCAGAGAGTCTGGGGTCAAATCCACAGTGTGGTATCTCACTAGCGGCGGAATTTTAAATGCAGTGATTCACCTCTCAGGGGTATGGTTATCTCACCTGCAAAATAGGCGTCCCGATGTCCGTCCCACAGAATGTGTCTGTCCCCCAAACTGGGTTGGAGGTTCTGAGTCACAGTGACATTTCTTCAGTCACTTAGTCCCAGCTAAGTTGGTGCTAAACGATGTACCAAGTCAATTCTACCCCTCTTTTCTTGGTCTGATTCTTCACTCTTCCTAAAGCAAATTTCCAAAAAAAGATTTGATTTCTGGCAGTTGAGACTAGTGGCCTGGGTTAAGGGGAAAGGCGATTTCGTTGTTTTGTTTCTCAAGAAGGTCTCACTCTGTAGACCAGGCTGGTCTTGACCTCACCATCCTCTGCCCCAGCCCCCATGGCCCATGCTGGGATTGCAGTGGTGTCCTGTGGGAGGTGTTCCTTCTGAAGGCACCCGGGGTACACTTTCAATGGGTCAGGAAGGAGACCAGAAAGCCCCAGCAGCCCTGCTGCAGGGCTGAGGGATGAACAGTAAGGTCTCATTGCATCTCCTCCCCAGAGGCCAGGCTCCCCAGCATAGTCAGGAACTGGAGCCCCACAAGACAGAGCCATTGGCCACCAAGAGTATCATAAGAGGTGACCATGGGAGTCTTCCTCAGTTTCCCAAAAAGACAACTTAAGTCTCTGATTCAGGTGTGACCCTCAGAAGATTTCGCTGATGACAGAGGGGTTTTCTCATCAAACTGTAGAGAGGTGGAGTTTAAATTCGGATTAGCTTCACCCAAACAATATTTAAAATTTTTCAGATTCTGAGTCACAGGCATAGCTTTTTGATGTGGGTAAAATGGAGCAAAAAAAAAAAAAAAATGTTTGTAAAGGCAGGGAAGCCAAGGCAGAACTCTTCAGTAGCCATCGCCTTTCCTGCAGACAGCTCCAGGCTCCAGGCCCCGCTTCCGACTGCCTGGTGTGACGGCTGCACACTGAGCTCAACCCCTCTGTGTGGCCCTCTGCAGGGACCATGAGAGACACAAGGAACCCCCAGCCGGCGGGTGGCGCCCAGTCTGCTGGTGGGGTGGAGGGGTGACCGCTCTCCAGCAGAATGACAGCCCGAGAAGTCAGGTTTTCATACCAGTGAATATCGTGTCCAGGTTTCACCTTCGAGAGTCACTCTCCGGTGACAGGATTGGGAGTATGTTAATCTGACTTCTGGGGGGACTCAAGCCTAGATGCTTCCAGTGCGTGGCTGTGAGTGGACAAGAATCAAAGTCACACTGTTCAAACATAATGTTTTCGAAAGTAAGAATTCTTGAAGTGGATATAGATTTACATGAACTAAACTTGTCACGTAGCCTGCAGTAACCATATTTTGATTCTGTCTGTTAGAATAAGGGAAAGAAGCAGGAATTAAACGTGGAACAACGTTTTCTGGGAAAACTTACAGAATCTATAGCATAACTTGCCTGAGACAGATTACCATGATTCTTATAATCCACAATGAGATTAATGAGATGACTTATTGAATGAACTAAGATAAATCTGAAGCCTTTACAACTTCACAAATGTTAAAAATCTGTTTCTGCTTAGAATCTGATACAAATCTGTCCACGTGAAGTTTCTGGACCTAAATGTACCTCATTTGCTGCGTTTAACAGGGACCAGAACTGTGCTTTGATGTTTGCTGGTAGAGCTTTTTGGTTCACAGATGATAGTCTGGAGGGTACTCTTTTAGGGGAAACCCAACAAACCTGCTTACTTTTCAGCATGTAGGTCGCTGGCCTCACTCTTATGTTTTCTAGATGCCAAAGACCTTTGATTACATAGTTGATTTTCTTCTCCTTTGCAGGTTAAGCCATGTTCGACTTAAGACACAAAAGGTGGAAATACTAAGTTTAAGATTGGTCCATTTATTATCTTTGCCATCGTAAGTACATTCCTCCAGTTCTCAGCTTCTGATGCCTGGAACATCTTTTACGCTTGCAACATGTACCCATCTCCTGTCTCCTTGTCCGAAATGCTGGGCATTAGCAAACCAGATGCTTCTCAGGAAACAGTGCCACCGTGCAGGAGGAGAAGTTTGAGAATCGAGAAACTCACTGTGAACACTCAATGCTCGGTACAGTCCTCTGTTATATTTAAATAACTTGAAGCTTCTGATTTTAAACAGTATAAAATAAGGTACGAATTACATACAGTTTTAGAACCATTAAAAAAACATATCTTCAAGTAAACATGTATAGTATAAAATTTGCAAACCTTTAGATGAGTCATAAAATCTGGGGAATTATTGCTGTGAAATTGTTCTTTTTATTCATAAAGAACAACTTCTAAGGTATTTGTTTGTATTACAGGAATTTAGTTTTACATTGAATAATAAGTGGTAATAAATGAGTGCTCTCAGGGATCCAAGAAGAATAATTAGGAAAAACAAAGGTAAAAATATTAAAATTCTGATCAATATTTAATGGAATCAATTTAAACTTGATAATCAATTTTCAAGAAAACCTGATAGTTACTGTGCTTTATCTTTATATCCAATAACTGCATCAAACTTAATTTGGATCCTTTGTCTTACAAGTGCCAGGAAACGCTCAGGAAGGATCCTAGAAGAAAGATACGTAAAAATTAGGAAATTAATATCAAGTGCATTTGTAAAGTATCTTCTTTTAATATACATTTATTATGTAGCATGCATTCATTTGAGACAGGATTAAGAACTTTAACTCAAATCCATTTTATTCAAAGATAAATAGAAAGAAAAGAAGAAGAAGAAAAAAATAAGCTGGATGTGGTGGTGCATGCTTGTAATCCCAGCACTTGGGAGGCTGAGACAGGAGGATCACTGTGAGTTTGAGGCCAGCCTGAACTGCATGGTGAAACCTTATCTCGAAAACACTCAAGAAGAAGAACAAGGAGGAAGAGGAGGAGGAGGAAGAGGAACAGAAGGAGAAGGAGAAGAAGAAGGGGAAGAGGAGGCAGAAGAAGAGGAGAAAGAGAAGAAGGAGGAGGAGAGAGAGGAGAAAGATCATTAGTTGGGTCCAGTCTTGAAGAAATTTTTAAAATACAGACGGTTTGAAAAGTAATAAAAATGAGGCCAGAAAAATAATCAACATACTTCAGAAGCCATCTCAGACTGGAACAGATATGGTAATAAAGACCTAAAAAGCTCCTCGGAGAAAGAAAAGGTGATTAAGAATAAGGCAAAGAGCCTGAAGCTAACACTGGGAGTCTGAGGCCTGAGGGACAACTCAGTGAGACCCTGATTCAAAAGAGCAAAGACAAAAAGATAACATGGAACTTCCTGTGCCTCAGGCACGCTGGAGCCCCTCACACCCATTAGACCCAGCACCCGCTTCAGCAGACCCAGATGGCGAAGAACTCCTAAACACCACAAACTAGTTCAGAGCACTATTTTTAAAACTAGAAAACAAGCGATTACTTATCAGGGTCGTAAAAGAAAGACTAACTACTAGGTATTGAGAAAATGAGTAAAGAGCAAACAGAAATGATTAGACTATAATAAATGTGTAAATAATAATAAATGATAATAATAATAAATGAGTAAATAGCAAACAGCAATGATTAGATTAGGGTGGTGGAAAACAAATTAGAGAGATATAATCACATTGCCCCAAACGGCCTGGATTAATTCTAACTTGGGATTGATTATAATAAACCCAAGAGTAATCATCGGCAGAAGATTTTAACTGTAGGGATGTAAGTCCAGTGGGGGAATCTTCGTTTAACATGTTTTATTTATTTTTTACAGTACTGGGGGTTGAACCCAGGGTTTTTGCACCAAGCTACATCCTCAGGGCTTTTTATCACTTTACTTTTGAGACAGGGAGTACAAACAAGTGCCACCATGTCTGCCTATAATCTGCATTTCTCACCAAGTATGACATTTAAATCCACACAGAGTCCAATTTAACAAAGCATTTATTCAGTCGATGCAGCCTCTAACCAGAGGTTGCTTCCTGAAGCCACCCGGGAAAGAGATCGGGCCCTCCCAACTCGCAGACCAGGCCACTCATAATGTCTTGCACCACAAGACGGCTGCCCATGGAGCCCGCAGGCCTGCATTCCTCAGGGCCCAACCCACAGCCTGGCTCTCCAGTACACCGTAAGTCCAAGGGCTGCCTAGCGGCCAAGGCTCCATGCAACCCCCCTGACCCCACAGCATGCATCTGAGATGCTGATGTGAAAAGCATGTTTCAATGGAGGTTCTGCAGGCCACGGTGTGCCTAGCACAGAATTTCCCCCTCATCACCATCTGTCTCCTCAGTGCCCTCGCCTTGGCTAATAACCACAGTGCAGGAGAGAATCCTGAGTTCCTCAGACTTAATTCCTCTAAACTTCAGACTGAAATCAGGACATCCAGAACTGCCAACAGAAGAAAGAAGTTATGAGCAATTCCTCACATGCCCCTGACACGGGTTTTTGTCATGTGATTCTCACTCAACGCTATTTTCATTATGAGTAAATGAATGTAGCATTCACTTCACTGAATCTTAGCACCTTTCTTTTGAGACAGGGTCTGACTATGTAGTTAGGGTGACCTTGAACTCATTATGCAGCCCAGGCTGGCCATAGCAACCCTCCCGCCTCAGCCTCTGGAGTACTGGGACTACAGATATTCCTTAAATTTCTGATCACTTGGTTCATCATTGTAAAAACTGGGTCATGCTTGTCCACACCAACTGAGCCAACCAATCTTCACACAGCCAGGCAACAATACTAACCCTCTGGTGTAGCTGGGACTAATGACAGGTCATGGGCATCTTCCAAATTTTATTGTTTTATTTTCTTTTTCCACAGATGATGATCCTTTCTGTGTCTGCTCTGGCTGAGTCCATTTTCTTTCTCTTTAGACAGTGGCCCAAATTTGGGTCCCTTATTTCACAGGTTGGAATGTCATGGCTGTCTAGGGTCATGGCTGTCCAGGGCATGGCTGAAGGACCACACTCAACATTGCAGTTGAGTCTCCCATCAGGGTGGGGGACCTTGAACGAGCTGCTGGGTAGCACAGAGCTGTGGTCTCTCCTTCAAAAAGTGGCTATGATGGGACTTGCTCTGGCATTCTTCCCTGGGCCTTTTGTGAAGTTTGGGCCTTCTGTGAAGTTTAATGAGCTATTATACAAAAATATTTGTAAAGTACAGAACCACATCCGCTAGGGCAGTGGTGGGGACCCTTCCAGAGCCTTCAGCTGACACAAACAGCAGGCTGTGCACCCCTGCCCTAAGGTGTCCTTATCAACATTCCAGGAATTTCAAGGCTTAAGCCCTCGAGAATGTTCACATCACCATTTGCTGGTTTAAAATGCTCATTGCTAAGCTGCATTTCACAGAATGTAATAGAGTCTAAGTAGATCCCCGAGATCCGTACTGTGTTTAGATGCGATCTTACTATGCAGCCCAGGCTGGACTCAAACTTGGGATCCTCTTGAGTAGCTGGGCCTACAGGTGTACACCACTGTGCCCAGCAGCTGTGCACTTTTTTTTTTTTTTTTTTGTCTTTTTCATTTAATATCCACCACCAGCACCACCAGCCTTTCCCCTGCCACATGCTGTGTGTATGAATGGCCTGGGGAAGACACTTGGAGAAATACTAACGTGAAAGTGAAATTAAACACTGCACAAGAACTTAGAAAAAAGAACTTTAACTTGGGTTTCTACTACGTTTCTTTCCATTAAATTCATATTCTTTCCAAAAGGAAAAGGAGGAGGCCTAATTTTCTTTAGGGCAGGAGTGGCCTGAATACCTTTAGAAACATATACATTTGAAATAAATATACTCCCTTAGTTTTCAAAAGATCTGAGAGGATCTGAATACTACAGAAAAACTTGGTATTGAAAAGAAAGTGAATCCAGGAGCCAAAATTATACTTTATAATTCATATCATTTAAATATTCTGCTGAAAGACAGGAAGTAGAACTGCTCAGTAAAAATGCAAACAATATGCTTAGTTTTGAGCTTAAACCAATTGCCCTTTGAATTTAACCTGCTTACATGTGAATGGAAAAATTAACACCTGTTCATAAGTGTTCTCAGGAGCTCCTGTGTTAAGAAAATGTCTCAAATTGTGATGGAGAAGCTGGGCGTGGTGGTTCACATCTGTAATCGCAGTACTAGGGGAGGCTGAAGCAAGAAGATCACCGAGAGTTTGAGCCTGGGCTACACAGTGAGTTCAAGGACAGCCTTAACTGCACAGAGAGACCTTGTCTCAAAAAAAAAAGTAAGTAAATGTTGGAGACCACTACGAAGCAAAGTGGTTCTGAGCAGGATTTAAAATTAACTAATTGGCTTTCTATGTTTATCTGTGAGTCTGTCCTAGGCCTCGGCCCCTTGCCTAGTGATGGGAGCTGATTCCTAGTAAGTGAACCTCTATGAATCACTGGTCCTGGCTGAGGCCTGCAGTGGCCTGTGAGGCCAGAGAGACCTCAAAGGGCACAGCAGTGGACACTCTGGCTCCAACCCCAATTAACAAGGTAGAGACTGTAGCTGAAAAGATTACTCCTACAGTCTCACTTCTACCATGTCTTCATGATAAGACAGTGCTACTGAATTGACTTGATTCATGACTTGGAGATGTCCTTGAAGTGACTCCCAAGGTCCTGCTCATTGCCTGCACTTTCCTCAGTCTCTCCACCCTTTGTCCTTGGTCCTAATATAAGTGGACTGACCCAGAGAATCCTTTGTCTTTACCCTCGAAGCCTCGAGCTTAATTAAAGGGTTTTGACCCTTCTGGAGCCCTATAAATCATACAATTTGTCTCTTTTTATTTAACCTCCACCCTACACTCTTTGGGAGATCGGGGATCTAGGACAGAACCCGATAAGTAAGTAAATAAATAATAAAATAAAAATAAATTCATGGTGGACACATAGGAGATCTCATCTTTTTTCTCCCAACATCTACTTAAGCATGTTAGGAGCTCGGCACTGAGTCGTTGTACAAAGAAAAGTCAGACAGCAAGCACTAAAACAGGGCTTGGAAGCTGGACACCTGTCTCAGTTACTTTTCTTGTTCCTAAGAGAAAACAGCTGACACCCAAAGTTAAAGGAGGAAAAGTTTGTTTAGCTCACAGTTTGTTGAGGTTTCAGTCCGTATAGTTGGCTGCAGGGCAGGGTAGCATGGCAGAGGGGCATCGCAGAGGACAAAGAGTCCACAGCAGGCAGTAAGAGCAAGCAAGGGATGACCGCAACTCTTTTGTCCCTTACATCTGACTCAGGCTACTTACTTAGCGTGTGTAGTGCTGACACTTAATCATAGTGTCCTTGCGCCTAGCATTGCACGATGAATCAATTCCAGCAGCACACAGTCTAGACTCAGCCACCTCTGAAAAAGCCCCACTTACACCCACACAAAGCTTTGTGGGACATCTAGACACAAGCCATCCCTTTACCTGTGGATGTCAGGTATTTTGTCTCAGTAATGAGAGACAAGTAACTAAGACAATTATCAAGTGCCTGGGCCATGTTCAACCATGGTCTGTGTTTCTAGTTTAGGGGCTGGAAATTCAAACACAGGTCATATTTTGGATCTGTTGAAATTTTCAATCTTTAGGTCACTAGGTGGCAGGTACCTATCATAACACAGATTTGAGTCACAGTTGAAACGTTCTGTATTAAAATCTCTGAAAGTGAAATTCGAGAATCTATTTTAAAATAGGTTTCCCATGATCCTGATTCCCACTGACTTGGGGAAGCTTTAGCCCAGGCACAGGAACAAGAGATTTTGTCCCTTGGTGACCGAAGGACCTCTCACTGTTTCCTAAGTGTCACCCAAAATACTAAACCTGTAGCTCCCCATCTTGGTGACACAATTGAAGTAGCAGCAAAGTTGCTGCATCTTCCCAAGCCCACATTGTGCTTCACACCAAGTGGATCAGGATCCTGGAGGACAGGATCAGGCTCTGACACTTTAAAAACCTCCCAGGTTTTTAAACTCCATTGTGCACCAAAGTTCGGACCTACTGACATTTTAATCGGCACACAGATTGTCTGAGATCCTACTGAAAGGCCCATCCTCTCCCAGAGAGTCTGTATTTCTTTTCCTTTTGATACGGAGGATGGAAATCATGACCTCACCGTTGGCAGGCAGGTGTCTGTGCTGCTGAACTACATCCCTGCCCCAAGAGTCTGTATTTCTAAACAGTTCTCTGGGAAAACCAATGCTGCTAGTGTACGGAGGACACTGGAAGCAGTCAGGGGCAGGGATCTCTGTGACCATAACAGATCTTCAGCAACTCCTTTGTTGTGACTCCCCCAAAGTAAAATGTCAGTGCTGTCTGTGAATGCAGACTGACAGCCTCGCCATGGAATCCTTTCATCTCACTGTGCTGATTCCAGTACTTGAAAAATCCTTTAAAAGGATCCTGCCTCCCAGGCACTCAGGTCACTCATTTCTAAGACAAGACTTCCAGAAATACACAAGCAACAAAAACGCGTGGAAATGATCTGCTTCCTCTACCCAACAGTGATACTACTCTTATTTGATTGATTAACACCCGTCGTTCTAAAATCAGTGGCATCCATTCTTTTTATTACCTCAATTCCATTTAATTCCATGCTATCAATTGTCTAATTTTAAATGAATAAAAACATGCGGTAGATAAATGCTCATTTATACTTCTGACAGACATGAACTGCCTACCGTTTACTTACCTTTCCATCAAGGTTAAGAAGTGGATAATAGATGGGACGAAAATCATCTTCTGTTCAGTCAAGATGCCATTCATCAGCTTGTCGACCACTTTCTCAGGCTCCAGGATAGATCCCAAGCTGAAACCAGATGCAGGCATTAGGCACAAGCCCAATTCAACATAATGGCACATGAAAAAGATTTCCAGGGGGCTGGGGATTTAGCTCAGAGGCATAAGTGCCAGGCTTGCAAGCAGGCAGTCGTGAGTTCGATCCCTAATACCAATAAAAACAAAAAAGACAAAAAAAAAAAAAAAAAAAAAAAAAAGAAAGGAAAAAAGAAAAAAAGAAAAAGATTTCCGAAGTTTGGAGGGGCTCAAAAGTGAATGGTCAGATCACTCGTGCATGGAAAATGAAGATGATAATAACTTTGATGTTGGCCATGTCAGGCAAAGTTTCTGTGACAGTGAAACAGAGCAAGAATCAACTGATACACACACAAGTAATGCAGACCTCTTTGATTTAGATGATGAAGAAACCAGCAATGTGCATACATACTTGACTGGTTGAAATGGTACAAAATGGTCATGCAACTCAATGTTAGAACTAGGTATGAAAATATAGTGGGAATCTTGGCAGGGGTAAACCCTATTAAATGAAATGCCAGCATTGTCATTCTGTGTTGGAAACTGTAACAGGTGAAATGCTGCAAGATATTGTGAAATACACAAGTGCTGACATACAAATAAAATGTTCTGTATACACTGATATGCATACTGAAAAATGTATTTATTATGATACCTCATTAACTGAACTGAAAGTATTCATAGGTCTACTGTACTTAGCAGGGCTTTTGCATAGTAATCAGAGGAATATAGAAGACTTATGGAAAAGCAGTGGGTGTGGGCTTGAGGTCTGCAGAATAATGGTGACACTGAGGACAGTTGACTTCCTTCAAAACTGCCTGAGATTTGATGCCAGAACCACTTCACAAGAAGAAAAACTGATAATCTAGCTGATATTTGTTCAGTGTTAGAGAGATCTGTGGTTACCATCAAGCTACATGTCATCTGAATACATGACTACTGATGAGCATTATGCAGCCTTTCAGCTCCAGCAGCTCTAGCTTCAGGCAGTGTATTCCCCAAAAACCTTCAAAATATGGCAGATTCAGCCTTCAAAATTATGCCCTTGCAGATATGCAGATAAGCAGATATTAAACTTCTTTCTCCTTCTCCTCCTCCTCCTTATCTTTTTGAGGCAGGATTTTGCTGTTCATTTCAGGCTGACCTTGAACTCACTTTGCAGCCCGGGCTGGCCTCAAACTCACAGCAATCCTCCTGCCTCAGTCTCCTGAATGCTGGGCTTAGTGCCACTACACCCAGCTTGTTATGCTTTCAATTTAGAATTTTATCTGGAACTCTGCCACCAGGTCCTTATTCATATAGTAATAAACCAAATGATATTGTGAACAGACTCATTGCTCCTGTTGCCAAACTAACTGGAGTATGATATTTGACAATTGGTTTACTGGTTTCCAATTGATGTTACATTTGCTAGCAGAGCAAAACTTGACCAATACACACAAACAAAGCAGAAATTCCCCATGAAATTTTGCAATTTCTAACCAGAGAATTACATAATACAATGTTGGGTTTCAGAAAGATATAACATTGGCTTTATATAAGGCAAAGTAAAACAAACTGGTCTGCTGATGTCAACATTTCACCAGGATAGAAATACTGATAAGGAAACCTCCATAAAATGGAAGCTGGAGATGGAAACTTTCTGCAACAAAATGAAAGCTACAGTAGATGTTATGAAAGAGTTAGGCAACAACTGTGATGCCACTCGAAACACAAAGTATCAGCCAATTGTTACATTTTACTCAATCCTGAAAGTGTGCGGCATAAATAGTTTTACAGTTAACAAAGAAAATAACAAATGCAAGATATCACTGAGAAATTTTCTTAGAGGATCGGGACTGGAACTCATAAGAGATCATTTACAAGAGAGGAAAAACAATTTTTTTTTCTGCACAGGGAACTAAGTAAAAGCAATTGTGGAGCACACCGGTGAGCTGACGGGTGAACAGGCAGGACCAGCACCACAAAGACTACCACAGCAACAGGGAAACAAGAAGATGCCAGCTGTGCCCCAGAAGAAAGGGCAGGAAAACAGAACATAGGTGCTATCAGTGTAAGCCATGCTTGTGTGTGGAGCGTGCAGTGTCTTGTGTGAAGAGGCCTTGGGTGTGGCAGTGGAAGCAGTGCTTATTTCTGTGCTAGACTTTTGTTTGTGCTTACACTATTGTTCACATAGAATTTTATTTTTCATGTTACCGTTTAGGTTTTGTAAGCAAGTAAACAGCTGATGTGAAAATGCTGATGTCTGCTCTAAGCATTCATTACACATTTGTGTGAATTCTGCCTTGGCTGGACAGGGGAAGCAAAGATTATTTTGTCGTAGAGTTCTATAGGAATTTTTATTATAGTTCACATAGGAATTTATTTTGGATGTTATTTTCCAGGTTTCATAAGCAAGTACACAGATGATGGGAAAATGCTGATGTTTATTCTAAATGTGCAATACATATTAGGAATTTAATACACTAGTTTATTGATATTTTATGTTCCTATTATACATTGTATAAAAACCTCTGAAAAAATGCCCAAGACCACTGAGGTGTCAAGTATGTGCTTTAAAAAGGCCAAGACAGCAAAAGACACGTGCGGTCAGTGTAGTGCTGCGTGTATATGGAATGTATCAATGTCATGTGTGCAGATGGCCTTAGGTATGACAACTGAAGTAAAGATTATTTTTTTGGTAGAGTGCTATTGGTATTTTCATTGTAGTTCATGTAAGAATTTACATCTGGTGTTATTTTTTTAGACTTTGTACCTCCAAAAACAGTCACTGAAAATATTGATGTTTTAAACACTGAAGCAATATTAAAAATTTAATGCTTTTTTGGGGGATTTTTTCCTATTAAGTGCTCATTGTGTAATATAATAAAACTCATGAAATTAAAATTAATAATTCATCAATAGAAATGTTCTAAAGAGTAAATGTGGATGTTACACACCCACAATAATGTGTCTTTTTGACAAAATTCATGTGATGCACTGCAAGCTATGCCAGGTGTGGTGGCACAAGCCTGTAATCAATTCCAGCGCACAGAAGGCTGAGGCAGGAGGATCCATGCCCGAGACCAGCATAGGATACACAGTGAGTTCAAGATCAGCCTGGCATATATAGCACAATCCTGTCTCAAAAAACAAGGCAAAAGAAAATTTTCTCTTCACAAGCTGATTAGCTCACGTTTCTCATGATACAACACAAAACTCACTACCACAAAGATTTTTCTTCCAGGTATTTCAGAAATTAGGGCAGGAATAGTCCAGCAATGGCCAGGGGACCAATCTATCCTTCCAGATGGGGAAATTAGAGAGAATTTATCTAAGGGCCACAAAGGTCTTCTTGAATTTAACAGGCTGTCAATATATACTTTAAATAAAGTATTGAGGGCTAGGGATTTAGCTCAGCAGCACAAGTACCTGCCTGGCAAGTGTGAGGTTGTGAGTTCAATCCCCAGTACCAAAAAATTAAATTAAACTATTGATATTTAAATTTAGTTAACAAATATAATTCTTAATCTTTAGAGCACCAGATTTACGTCTGATTCTCATAAACTCCATGAGATGATTTATTACAGCCTTCCCTGGAACCTTGTCTCTTTGCAGTGAGTTACATGTTTAAACATAAGAACCCCTGAAGTTTGGTGGAGTCCTCGAAGAGAAACTTTGGATTCCAAGGCAAAAGAAACTATTTCAAACTTGGCTCCTTGGAGGCTGGCTCAATCTTCTCCCCGCAGGAATTTGACTGTGAGTAGCGTGGTGCGCGTTCTGCTGTTCCTGGGCTAGTTAAACAACAGCCTCCCTCAGGGGATGGCTGAGAGCCTAAGAAAACGGTGGGTCTCACTTAGCATCCCAGAGTGGATGGTGTTCAGTGAGGGGGCATGCTCTTTCCCCCAGAAGTACTACACTGCTTTTGCTTTCAGAATCAGCTCATTTTTAGGACACATCTGCACCCCGTTTAGCTTGGGGTGCAGGGCCCAGCAGGAGCCCTTTCCCAGGCAGGATGACAGCCCTGCCCTTGGACTGCAGTGGCCCCAGTTTCCGGTCACATTTTAGCAAGTCCCCGCAGGTTTAATTGGAGTAATGGAGTTTTGCCAAGAGAGGGCGCTCTTGCCTTGCAAGCCTGTCTTGGCAAGGTCAAAAAATTCAATGAAAACTAAAAAGTACGCTGTTTTTCACCCCCTGAAAAAGATTGAATTAAAAAAAAAAAGACTCAGATGTTATTTGAGCACCTAAATCTGAAAGCAACAGACAAAACTGTCAAGTTTTCTCTTCATTTGGTCGTAGTTTTAGTGGACTCAATCCTTTCTACTCCTTGAAGTTAAATCTTATTTGTTCATTTTCTTTTCCCTTCAGCGTGCAGTTAGGCTTTTACTGATTAAGACAGATGAATTTAAGCACTGGCCTGCTGAAGTATACACTCTGACCTCTGTTTTATTTTTCATCTGCTTTGAGGTGGGGCCTTGCGATGTTACCCAGCTAGCATCAATCTCATGGGCTCAGCAGAACCTCCCACCTCAGCCTCCCCAGGCTGGGAGCACAGGGCGCCCGCTGCATCCGGCTTCACTCTTACTGTTGCTTTCTAACAAAACTGTGTCTTATAAATGGACTTTTGGGGCCACAGCAGGAGTCCAGATAGTACAGTTTAAGAGTTCTCAACTTAACAGTGGCCCTGCTTCAGGTCTGAATTTCGGCTTCCTGGAGCTCCCTAGTGCTCTGGCCATGCTCACAGCCCCACCCCGAGCCACGTCCCAATGGCACAGGGGACTGCAGCACACCCCTTTGCAGGTTGGGCCTGCTACCTGCATTTCCACTTCTGGTATTTCCAACTTCCGGTGGGTTTCTTGGGCTCTAGTCCCATCAAGGTTGGGGGCATCATGGGGTGGGCTCATCACAAGTTAGGGGGATCCGTATTGGCTAAGATTCTTTGAGGGCCCCCAATTCTCAGCCTAATGTTGGCTTTCTACTTGGGCCACTTGGGTGGTGGCTGAGGCTGAGGCACACAGCATTTAAAGCAGAGCTTTCTCTCCTCCCAGGTGTCTACACTGAAGAGTTCTCCTTCCTTTCAAATATATTCTCACCCAGAGCAGCTCGGTTGGAAGAAAAAGGGATGAAGTGTTAACATCTAGAAGCTGAACCTCAATAATGCAATAGAATAGGTGCATCCATGTAAATACAGGAACAGATCATGGAACACGTTTTCAGGGAGAGGAAATAACGTGTTATTTAACGAATAACATATAACAGCTCACTAACTAAGCACTCTCTACTTCGGAGCTGTACCCCTAGAAATAACCTCAGTTTAATACATTCTCATGAAGCCAAAAACTCAAATGTAAAAACGCAATCATAAAATATCTACCAGTAGCTGCTCATTTTATTTTTTAGCACTGGCTTTGTGTCGTAGTGTTTATCTCCTAGCAAAACAAGTGGAAAAGAAGGTGAATGTGTATTTTCTCAAGGTTGGCATGGAAAAGATCTTTCTAAATACCTCCGAGAACCTAAAGGCCATGAGGGAAAAATACTTTTAGGACTTTTAATCCCAAAAATACACATTAGGGCAACAGGTAATAGGAAATTGGGTAAAAATGTGCGTGCGATGGACAGAAAGGTATGGGGAGAACAGAGCAGCTCAGGCTCCTCACCAAGCCCCCAGCTTGGCAGAGAGAAGGGAGCAGACCAGGACACATGCAATCCGTCAACGAAGTCAAATGGCTACAGATCACATTTGCAGGCATTAGCTAGACATCCCGGCAGAGCAAGAGGACGGCTGATGCACTGTACTGCGGTAATTAAAAGACCAGTAGAAGGCAGACAGATAAAGAGGTCCAGAGCAAGATGTGGTCCCGGCTCTGTGGGCCAGAACACCAAAGGGTCACACTCTGGGGGGAAGGGACACGTGGATATTTACAATTGTGCACCCTCTCACGCGGGCTTCTGGGATCTAACAGAAGGAGATAATTATCCAAATGTGAAAATACTATGCGCACAGGATGTTCGCGATAGCTTTGGTAGGTTAAAAATCCAGAAAACTGAAAACAATCTTAAAAATCTCACCAGGAGACACTGTAGTCAGTAACCTTATGGTAAAGGTCTGTTTTATCAATATGAAAAGATGCCTGTAATAGAATACACACAGAATAGCACTGATAAGCTTCTAGAGGAAGAGATGTCCATGAAATGAAATAGTGTAGAAGCAGTTTATTTACTGGTTCTAGGGCCTCATTAGTTCTATAATCCAGTTCCTAAAAATTTAGACATTTATTCTACACATAGAGACCACTAAAAGGACATTTATAAAAATGTTAAAGAGTAGTTTCCATTAGATTATGGAAGCATGAAAAGGAACTTTCTGATTTGTGATTTTTTTTGTAATGTTGGGATTTTTAAAAATATGCATTATTGCTGGGCGTGATGGTGCACTCCTGTAACTCCAGCACTTGGGAGGCTGAGGCAGGAGGATCACTGCAAGTCCGAAACCAGCCTGGGCTACAAAGTGAGCTCAAGGCCAGCCTGAATTGCATGGTGAAACCCTGTCTCAAAAAGACAAAAAAAAAAAAAAAAAAGTATGCATATGCATTATGATTACAAAGACACTAAATCTAGTCTCAAAGAGAGAAAACATTGAAAATTATACTCAGAGCTAACCTTTTGTGATTTTACTTTTTTTTTTTTTTTAGTATGTGTGCTGCCAAAGTGAACACACGTTATTTCATTTTCTAATCAGGGAAAGAGCTTGGCCCAGTGCACCTCTGGGAGGGTAACCCTTGCATTACCAAGGAAAGAGCTTTCCACATGCAGTCTTGGTCAGCTCCATCACAGTCACCTATGAAGCTTTCTAAACAGGACCCCTTCCCTCTCACCATCCTGCCCTAGCCAACCCAGAAGGCAATCATCTCTGGCTTGGAGACCCAGTGTGGGTCCCAGGCACTCCCAGTGACAAGTATGTGTCTTGGCGTCTGAGAACCACTGTTTAGGATGGAAAACGTATCATTCGTATGTATATGCACAGTCCTTCCCTCTCACTTTTTCTTGCTTTCTTTGTCTCTCCATCTGTTTTCCCACGATCTACAGAAGCTGAAAGCAAAATAAACTAAGGACATTGAGTATCAGGTGTTTGGGGGATTAAACTACTTAGGGAAATCCAAAGAATGAGTGATGCTCAGAGCCACCACTAACCCTTCTGCCTCTATTTCAGTGTCCACTTACTTGGTGGTTGGGTTTTTAATGAAGCCAGTGTTGATGAAATTCGGGCAGAGACAAGTTGTTTTGACTCCAGTTCTTTCTAAGGCAGCCAGTTCTTCGGTCAAAGCTCTGTGAAATCCAACAGCAGCAAACTTGCTGGAGCTGAAAATGAACAGAGAGTTCACAGGCTGACTTAAAATCACCCCAAGGCCTGCTTGCTTAGACTCCTGCTTGGCTTAGTCAGGGATCACTTGGTGACTACCAGCTTGGGTCCCCCGGCAGATCGGGTCCAGTATACACCATGCTCCAAACCAAGTTAAGATGCCAGGGACATACTGGTCAACCAGTAAAACCTTGGCAACACGAAAGACGAGGATCAGGGTTAGAGCATGGCAGCTGTGACTGGGCTGAGGCCCAGTGCCTCGTGTATGAGAAGGCCTGGGTCCGTCTCCAGCATCACAAAAACAAAAGACAATAAACAAATAAGCTAACTTTTCTCAGTGAATAAGACAACACTCCAAAATATACATTGCTAAAGATATTAGCAGAAAGCTCACAAAATAAAAGTATCAGTGCATATGACATTTACATTCACACATTACAGCATTTTAGGATTTAAGGAGTAATTCCTATAAACATAAAGGACAACACAGTAATGCTTTTGCTTAGCAGGAAGGGTAAGGATATGTGGATAAGTATACTGTTTTTCAATATAAAAACTTTATGTTATTTATTTTGACACAGGGTCTCACTGTGGAGTTCCGCTGGCCTTGAACTCATTATGTACCCCAGACTGGCCTGGGATGAGACAATCCTCCTGCCTCAGCCTCCCAAGAGATGTGACCTCACAGATGTGTGGCACCATACCTGGCTCGGATTTTTATTTTAGACAGTTGAATCCAGCAATCTTTTAAAGCTTCAGTCTAGTGTTTAAAAAATGGTGAAAAAAATCAAAACAATGAAACATCTTTATATTCCTCAAAGCACAGGTTAATTGACAGTATTTTCTAGAAGGCTGCTTGACAAAGGTATCAGATGACTCATTAACAGTGCATTATGATTTTAGGCCTGACATCATCTCTAAATGTTTACCCCAAAGAAATAGTTAGTTTGAAGACTGAAGTCCAGGGACAGTCCATGGGATACATAATGGGGATCAGGACCTTACAATGGCTAAGTTTGCATCCTTCCCTAAGGGATAAATGGAGCCTTGGGATTGCGGCATCATCCTTTTGAGACTCCACATTAACTCTTGAGAGGGGTCACCCTCTCCCAACCACTGAGACTAAACTAAACTACTAAGAGGATGAGAAAGAACACTCCGGAGCAAGACCCTTCTTAGCATTGCATCATCCCCACCCACCTGAGTCATCTCAGCATTGTGTGTTGCTACAGCGTCATTGACCCCTGAATCTTCTGCAGTCCTGGATCTTCTGCTAGCCCCTCCCAGCAGTGTAGACACCCGAAAAAGAGTGGCTGGTTTGGAGGATCTGCGTCTTTGCCCATCCTGAGGCACTGATCTCCCAGCCCACCATCATGCGTTACTGAATTTGTCTCTGTTTCTTACTTTATCCTTCACTGCACCCCTCATACAGGCAGTTGGAGATCTTTGCCAGGTCTCCAATAATGTTTCCTTGAAGGCAAACAGTTGGAGAAATTTAAACGTCAGCTGTTGCTTGGTCATCAGGACTTACAGCCCCTTGTCCTGGTTACGTCACGGTTACAAATGAAGTGTGGTGACCGATCTGCGTTGGTCTGCTCTGGTCTGGCCACTGAGCTCCAGACCTGGACCATTCAAAAGCATCTGTAGGATCCACACCCCAAAATGGGCTTGAAGTTTAAAGGACGTTGACCTGGAACTCCTGATAGCTCTCTCTTGCCAAAGAGGGAGATACCCTGTCTAAGACATTAATTACAGAGCCAGAAAAAAATTTTCTCTTTTGGTCTGGGGGTTTACAGCGTTTTTGTTTTGTTTTGTTTTGTTTGTCTCTTTTTGAGACAGGTTCTCACTAAGCAGTTAAGGCTGGTCTTGAGTTCACTTTAGCTCAGGCTGGTCTCAAACTTGCAATGATTCTCTTGCCTCAGCCTCCCTAGTGCTGGGATTCAGGTGTGTGCCATCATGCCTGGCAAGACTTTTGTTCCTTCTAATTTAAAAAGAGAGAGAGAGAGAGAGAGAGAGAGAGAGAGAGAGAGAGAGAGAGAGAGAGCTACTTGGGATTAAGCCCAGAGCCTTGTGCAAGTCCTCAAAATGATAGATAAGCTTAATAAATGATGGCACTGAAATTGAAAAGAACATTGCACACATGCTTTTATTAGCATGCAAAATGTATTATTTTAGATTAAAAATGCAGGATTTTCTCAGTGATGGCTACATCTACATTTACAATTTTTCTCACCACATGCTTATATATAAAAATTATCACAAATGCTTATCATGGTTATTTCTGTGTGGTGAGGTTATCAGTAATTTTTTTCTTTCACTAATGTCTGATTTTTCTTAAGTTAGGCAAAAGAACAGAAGTGCCTCAGAGATACCTATTTTGAACGTACATTTTGAATATCACAGAGAACCTGTGTGTGAGATTTTCCCCACCCTTTGCTTATAAAGTCACATCAAATTGTTTAATGTACATACTCTGAATTTTCACGTTTTATTCCACATTATTCCTCTGAAAAACATTTCATTACAGGCTAAGGTTTTGCTGGGTCTTCCTATCCTGGCAACCCCCATAAATGGGCTATTGGGTTGACCAAGCTTATTAGCCAACTCATTTTCCTCTTAAAGATACTAGTGGAAAAATACTCAGTAAGCAGGAAAAAACCCATCTTAGAATCAGGGTTTCCCACCCTCTCCTGTGAGTTCAGTTCTGTGGTCTCGCATCTTTCGCATCAATCAATATATTTACTGAACGCTAGTTAAGTCCACAAAGAAACCAAGTGTTTTCTCCTAAAATAGACTACTAAGACTCTACTAGGGTCCAGGCTGTGCGCTCAGGACAGCGCTCTCTGGGCTCACCCCACATCCGGGGCCTGAACACCATGGTCAGCTCCCACAGGCCAGGCGCCCAGGATGTGAGCTGGCACTGCAGCACCCTGCTGGGCTCTGAGAGGACAAAGGGACCAGGTAATTCATCTGCTTTACGGAGGAAGGAAATGAAGCAAAGAAGAGTCCTGTCATTTGCCTAAGGTCACACAACCAGTAAGCAATTGGTCAATATTCATCGCAATCCTCTCCCAGAAATGACTTCAGTAAATGGCAGACAAAAAGGAAGTTATTACAGTCAAGTTGCATGATGCAAAACCGCACAGCCAGGAAAAGGATCCACAACATCGATCAAAGACAGCGGGGATGCATCCCCCAGACACTGTGCGTTACATGTATAAAAGTGAAAACAGGCAAAATTAATGTGAGGACGCACGAGGGGCTGGTGACTGGGAAGAGATCCAAGGGGCTCCTGGGCCTGGCCACGCTCTAGTTTTGACTTGCACACTGCTGACACAGATGCACACTTAGGAGCAGCTCACTGGGATGGGCACTAAGGACTTCTTTGCTTATAAATATACACTGCACTTCAACAAAAGTGCTTGCATTCAAAAAGTGATGTGTGAGTTTCACAGCCAGCTGCTGAACTGTCTGCCTGCAGAAATCTTAGTGTCCCAGTGATCAGGAGATGAAGATGACCGCAGTGACTGAGGAGCCCAGGCTGGTGGCCGCTGAGCACTCCAAAGAGCTCTGTACGAGTTCAGAACCACAGCTGTGTCCCTCAACTGGATGGGTACAAACCATGCGTGTGGCTGCAGTGGTGCCCTGTCAGTCCTAGTGAGACCCTCTGTGTATTTTGTCTTTATTTCCTTTTTAAATTCTTTTTTTTTTTTTTTTTTGGTGGGGAGGGTCAAGACAAGTTGTTGCTGTGTACTTTAGGATGACCATAAACTCACTAAGTAGCCCAGGCTGGCCTCGAAATCGCAGAGATCCTTCTGCCTCAGCTTTGAGAGGGCTGGATTTACAGGGGGGCGGAAAACCATGCCTGGCCCTTGTGTGGATTTCATAAAGCCAGGCCCATTTTCAGGGGGTCTGCCTGCCCATTGCGGGGACCGTAAGTGCTGCTGCCTAGAACTAGGTAGAGCATACTTGGGGCAATTGTAGGTGGCCCGCTGCTTTGATGGGGAACCTTTATGTCTCCCCCAAAGTGCCACCACCAGTCACAGCACATCCTCTGTGCATAAAGCCCTGTCTCTCTTGGCTCTGGTTGAGAAGTCCTCAATGGAACAAATCCACGAGCTGGTGTTCAACATGCAGAGGGACAAGGACACCTGATTACCCAACAGCCCAGCCACTGAGCTAGAAGCCCATGAGGGAGTGAAATCTCACCAGCTCTGGCAGCATGCTATGGCTGGGGTGCACATACCACCCTCTCAAACCCAGTCTGAGTCAAATACAGGGCTGGGCACCGCGGGTCGGCTTTCCGGCTGCTTTAGCAGGTTGTTTTTCTTTCATTCCTCTGCTTTCTCTCCTCCTTTTCCTTTCCCTGCCCACTCCCTTCCCCTACCCCTACCTTTTCCTTCCTTCCTTCTTTCCTTCAGTCAAATTTCCTTTAGTCAAATCAAAAAGCTATGTTTTTAATATTATGAAAGGTTGAACCCAGGGCCTTGGAACTCAACTGGACCCCGAGCCCTTTTTTCACTTTTTATTTTGACACAGGGCTTGAATTTACGATCCTGGTTCCTGCCCCAGCCTCCCAGAGTGCTGGGATTACAGGAAACAAACACATGTGCAGAAAAGGGAACCGATATCCACGCTGCTTTGCTAATTTGGGTTCCAAAAGAACCCGATGATAGTGAGCAAATGCCAGCATTACTTGTATACATACACATTTGCATAATTATAATTCGAGTTTCATTTTGGTTTTTTTGAAGTTACGGTTTGATGGAACATAATAGTAGCCAAGAGCTACTAGGTGTGCACTCCCCATCAGGTCTGCGGAGCCCAGGCAGCACACCATTCCGTGACCTGCTCGTTACAGCACAGTCCTTGGGTATTACAGAGGCATGGACAACCAGCCAGGTGTGGTGGTCCACACTTGTAATCCCAGCACTTGGGAGGCTGAGTCAGCAGGACCACTGAGAGGTTGCGGCCAGCCTGGGCTACACAGCCAGAACCTGTCTCAAAAAACCAATAATAATAATTAATAATAATAAATAAATAAACAGGAATGCATAAGCATTAAGTTTTAAAATTTCATTTTTTGCTCTCACTGTTTAGAACATCAGATAATACAAATATATACACACAGGCTCTTTTTCAGTTTTGTTTCCATGAAATGTTGCTTATCTTTATTAATAATAAAAATTACTGGTTTTAATTTTGTTCCTGCTACGAAAACGTTCTTATTAATCCCTCGCTGCTCAGAGGGATGAGAAAGGCTTTGTGCCGGGTGCCGGGTTCATCCCTGGATGACCCCCCCCCCCTGCTGCTTTATAACCGCCTGGGGGTGACCTGGCGAGGATTAACCGGATGCGGCTGTTTTACAGGAGACTGTGCTCTGCTTATTTTGGCAACTCCAAAGCACTTCCATGACAAAGGGGGCGCTCCTCAGACAGAAGGCGCCTAGCAACCCAGCTGGAAACCCAGCACGCGCCACCTACCAGTAAGCCAGCAGGAAGGGGACCACCGTGTGCCCGGCCGCGGATGCCACGGTGACCACATGGCCGTGATTATTCCTCATCATCGCGGGGAGGAATGCCTTCGTGGTCTGGAAACAGTTGGCAGTGAAAGGAAAAAAAATTAGATAATATCTCCAATTCACAGATCTACTGGGACTAGTTCGAAACAGTTGATTTTTTAAAATCACTGTTCCTGGTATAAATGGGGAAAAACCTAAATTGCATAGGCGTCCACCGGAGGCAGTACATCTGCAGACCCACATTAGAAAAACCCAGGCAGAGAATCAGCTCAAACTGCTTCTGCTCCCCATCCTCCACCTCCGCCCACAGCTCTTCTCCACCCGCCCAGACATTCCATAGGAACACTCCTCTAGCTACTGAAAGAATTTACACTTAGTGAGAATTTACTGCAGAAGTGTTTGCTGATCCAACATTAGCGGTGAAGCAAAGTACAGCCTGCCCATGGTCACCCAATGGTTCATGTTCTTGAGCTGACTGAGCACCTAGGGTAAGTGCTGGGGGTGCTCAAACCCATCTGACTACTAAGATTAGAAACCTACAAAACAGCTTGTTTGACGTGGAAGCAATAACACAAAGCGACTTCCAGGAGAACATGGCGGACAAATAACAGCAGCCATAGAGGCTCTCTGAGATTACCAGTTTAGAATCCAGGAGCGGTGCCATGTGAGGAGTCCTACGTGAGGGGAGATGTACCCTGCTGACCCAGCAACGAACTAAGCTGACAGAAACCAACTGGAAATGCAATCCTGATGCTATAACAGGAACAGATAAAAATCTCAGTGCGGAAGCTGGATCCCGCACCATTGGAAGCTGTGATTTGAATTTCTTGCTGCCGCTACTGCGTCCCAATCCACACGGCAGGGAGAGAGACGCATGAAAGCTCCAAGAGCTGGAATCGGCGAACCAATCAGCGTTGAGAGTGGGACTGGCAGGGAGCCCTGCATCAACCTGCAGTGAGTGAGAGAAATGGGGACCCTTTCATAGACTAGGAGGCTCCAAAAGAGGACATTCTGGGAATGAGCAGACTAGCTGGAACAGGGCCCTGCAGTGACTTTAGTCTCATATTCCCCTCTCAAGCAGGAGCGGTGGGGAGTGCTTGGCCTGGTGACGCCACGGACTAAGACCCAGTAGGCTAGCCCAAATCAGGTCTCTGCACCTGGCGGTGCACCCTAGCAGTGAAGCATTCAGTAGGTTGACCTGGAGGGGCGGGCCCAGCAGAGGCTGCCCAGGTCTGTGTCTCCCTAGTACACTGCAGTGGGCAGGAACACCTAGCTGGAGGATTCAAAACAAACTGTAACAGACAAAGAGAAAAAACAAAAACAAAAACAAAAACTGGGCCTCCTACAGATGCTTGTATGGAAGGAACAAAAAGTATAGGAAAAGGGAGCAACAAAAAAGGGTCCTCAGTCCCCAATCCTGAGAACACTGATCCAGGAAAGGTAAATGCAAAAGAGAATGAAGACAGAAAACATGCAATATCAGACATGGCACCTATGGACATAAAGCAGTATCTCTGGAGCCTCATAGATGAGTTCAAAAATGAAGTATTTAATGAAATAAAGCAAGAAATAAGTAGAATAGTTAGAGAAATGCTAAGCACTGCCCAAGAAAAAACAGATGATGGAATGGAAGAACAGCAAAAAAGGGGAGAATTGTTTGATGGAGAAAATAGAGAAAACATAGAATACATAAAGCAGGTTCAAAGAGATTACCAGGAAACTAAAAACTCTATTGAAAGCTGGCATAACAGCTTGAAAGAAACCAAGGATAGATTATCAGAACTGGAGGACAGATTTGTAAGGTGGGAGCATGAAATGAAAAACTTCTTTAAAATAACAAGAAAACAAACAGCAATAATACAAGGACTAGAAGATGATAAGAGGATCTATAACTTAAGAATTAAGAACATAAAAGAAGAAGTAGGGACTCAAACAAATGAACTACAAAGCTATTCACAGAAATAATCCAGGATAATTTCCCTAATTTAGCAAAAGATAAAGATACTCAGATATATGAGGCATACAGGACCCCAGCCACCTACAACCCAAACAGAGCAACACCCAGGCATATAATAATCAAAATTCCAGAAATCCAATATAAGAACAGAATATTAAAAGCCATCAGAGACAAGAAACAGATCACTTACAAGGGAACACCCATCAGAATTACAGCAGACTTCTCGGCACAAACCATCAAATCACGAATAGCATGGGGGGAAATAATTCAAGCTTTGAAAGATAATAACCTCCAGCCAAGATTGATATATCCTGCACAACTATCCCTGGAAATTGATGGAAAAACAAGGTGCTTCCAGGATAAAGAGGAACTAGGGGAATTTGCAACCACCAACTCAACTCTACAGAGAATACTGCAGGATATTCTAAAAATGAAAAGTACCAAGATTCCAGAAACAGTGGCAGAGAGGCCCCAATGAATGGAGCAGAAAGCAAAATGAAGAAGACAAACTGACAACTAATGACAGAAAAAGAGCTGAACAGAAATGAAGCAGAGAAGGTTGGATGGTAGGAACAGCCATTTTGGGGAAAACAAGACATCATAATAGGTAGTGCTGATTTAATATCCTCTCGTTTTGAAGTCAAATCAAGCTTTTGTTCTTCTGTCTCCATCAGTTTTAACATGTTGTGTCTTATTGGATTTTATTATATGTGATAATATAAACAAAAACTTTTATAGACAAGGAGATTATAAAGAAATCATTGTTCATTTTCTGTTAGTTGATTCTAAATACCCTGTAATACTGTCATTCTCTTGAACGGTTTTACACTGTCTTGATATGTTTGATACTACAGTATATGAAGTTATGCCCAAAGATTTTAAGGGAAGAGACACTATGGTAACTACTATTAAGTCGAGATTATCTTGTGGTGAAATACTATTTTGCTTAAATGGCTGTTTTGACTTATGCTGTTTTGTTGTTATGCCCTCCTTTTTTTTTTATCTCAATCTCCTTTTTATTATCTACTTTTTCATTTTTAACCTTTTAATTAAGGGAAAAATAAATAAAAAATAACAGGATATATTGTAGTAACCCACTTTGATTTCCTATTAACTTGACTTAAAACTCTGTATTGCTCTCACCATCTTGTTTTGTCTGATTTTCCTCTATTCTGTTATGCTTGATAGTACCAAGTTTGAAAGTATAGGCAACAACTATGAAGACAATAAGATTCATTGTGACGCCCATTCTGGTTGACTATTATCTTCTTTTGAAGTCCTCTAATGTCTCCAATGTTTTGGTTTTATTGGTTTTTTCTTTACTGTTTGGTTCAATTTTATTATAACTGATAATATAGGAAATTCTTTTTAAGATAACAAGAGGCATTATGGTAACTATTGTTGATCACCTTGTATTTTGTTTTTACATTATGTATTATGTCCATCATATTGATTTGACTGACTGTCCTGGTATGTCACATTTGGTTTTACTTTCTTCAAAAGAAAGAAAGTAGTAGGAACTGTGGGAGTAATAAAACCCAAAATGTGTAATTGTCATTGTACAAAAGAAAGGAAAAGAAAGTTCTCTAAAAGATATAAGTGTACAAGATAGATAACCATATTACTGAGTTTTGTTGAATCATTGAACAAAACTGTTTGCAGTCTCACTGTTTGAAAGTCCCCTCTATATGCTTTAATTTTGTAACTTCAACAACTATTTCTAAGATGACAATATGTAATTAACTAGTGATTTCCTACTGTTTATTTTTTCTGAAATTCTGTAAAACTTGTACCCTTTTTCTTTTTTATCTTTAAATAAAATTTTAACAAAACAAAACAAAACCACAAAGCAAGGCTGCATTGTCACCAGTTTCAATATTCTTTCTATACTAACTACCCCAATCTCCCACCCTCAGAGCATGGAAGGACCCTTTTTTTTTATGAAAGTGGCTATTTGGGAACTATTTGGAGTCCTCAGAAACACAGGCTATCAATATAAAACTTAATGCAATCTGCAGTTTTTTAGGCCAGGAAATATTACAAGGCCTCACTGTTACAAGAATCTGAAAGTAACCTGGATTCCCTTGTGGGATCACAGACGATTCCCGAGATGGTTTCTATTATTTTCTTTATTGCTAAGTAAGCACACAGATGTAAACATCTAGTTTAGAATTAAAACATATACAGTATTGAAAGTTTATAGTTACTGGATTTATTATTTGTGTGTGTGAGGGACAATTGGTGGAATCTGGTCATAGCATGAAAAGTGAAGTCTTTATACATAATGTTATTATAGATGGCTAAGTTAGGTAAAAATATTATAGACAGTCAGACAGGGCTGGGCCCTTGGGGAAGTCAGTGTAGAAGATGTGAACACATAGGGCTGGGAATTTAGCTCAGCGGCATAAGCACCTGCCTTGTAAGCACGTGTTCCTGAGTTCAATCCCTGGTAACAATAAAAAAGAAGAAGAAAAAAAAGATGTGAACACATCAAAGCTGTGGCTGGAGGTGCTTCTGAAAAAGATTAAAGTCATAATGGCCCGATTTATACACTTCCCTAGGGGATAAATGGAAATTTGAGATTATTGGTCCCATCCTTTTTGAAATTTCCCATTATCTCATTAGAGGTGGGCCATCCTCTCCCCCCCCCCCTCCACTAAGACTAAGAGTGTTAAGATTAAGACTGAGGCTACTAAAACTAAGACTAAAAATAAGACAGACTATAGATTATTGGCCAAGGTTAATGATGTCATCTATATGACATTGCTACTATTGGATCAACAATAGCCAAGAGGCTAATATTGTAATCTTATTGGTTGACTACAGTTTTGACTCATGTTGTAGTCGCCTTGTGATTTTGCTCTGCAAAACTTTCTTAGAGAAGTGAGATCATTAGAACCCATTCAGGACCATTTCTCTTAGGAGTTATTTCTATTCCCCATCACTATTTCCCATTCTTATTCAAGTTGCTTCTTTTAACCTCCTTGTTACTTAGAATTCATTCTTCATCTTCAGGAGCATAAACTCAGTGTGTCTGACATCTAGCATGTTGAGAGTTACACTTTTCTCCCCTTCTTCAGTGTTATCCCTGGAACCTAGAGAACACTTTAGCCTTGACTTAATGCTTTCTTATGTATGCTGAAAGTTCTTTACACTTAATTGTTGGGGCTTTCATAAGGGAATGTTTTTGTAAAAACAAAACAAAACCAAAAATCATACTCACCCAAAAATGTGCAAGTACGTTGACTTCAAAAGTCTTTTCAATCTGAGGATCTTGGGTAGCAAACAAGTCCGACGTGTAGACCACACCAGCATTGTTCACTAAAATACTCACATCTCCAATTTCTGCTTTCACCTTTAAAAATAAAACAAGAACAATATGTTTATTAAGGGGTGTGTCAGTAAATTTGCATGCAATGACTGCATTTTTCTACCAGATGTGGTAAAAAGAAGTTTGCTCACTTATCTTCCCATATAAAAAACCAAACCAAAACAAAACAAAACAAAACCCTTTTTTATCTGAGGTCCTTACATCTATCTAACACATCTTTGTCAGCCTTCTAGGTAGAAATTTTCTCCTGCAATTTAATCTTTGACTTTGCTCTATTGATTGTAGCTCAAGAAGTATTTATCTGGCTGAATAGAATTTAGAATTTATTTTTTTAAAACACTACTTCAAAAGGTAAGCAAAAAAATTAAATTACTGACAAATTCAGGGCTATTAAGGAGAATTATGTAGAACTGACTACACTATTGAGCTGGGTGCATCTATTTCTTTATTTGTGATTCTGTTTTCATGATCACTGTTTCACTGATTCCAAATCTCTCCCCATTAGGCGGCAGCTGGTTTAAGGCCAAAGGGTGAGTACTTCTGGTTACCCTCAAATTGAGCCCTGGGTCTGCCACAAATGGGACTTTGAACAGTTAGTTAATCTGTCTAAACTTCAATTGCTCCTCTAAAAGAGAGATAATAATAGAGCTTGCTTGTTAGTTACTGTGGGGACAGATGAAATAATGCAGATAAAGGGGCTGAACAATGCTTTAAAAAATAATGCAGCTAAAGGAAGCTGTTATTACTGTCATCATGATTATACATCATTATTGCATATGTTCATATACAGCTGTGTACAGGAACATGTCTCAAGGTGATTCGCTCAATCTTTGGAGCTACCTATGAGGGTAGTGAATGTGAAAATATAAATACAGCAAGTAACATGCAAATTATATGGCATGTTTTCCTACTAATGTATTTATGGTACAAGTGTTGTTATGACTTGTGTCTAGATGTCCCCCCAAAGCCTCATATGGACATAGGTGGGGCTTCTTCAGAGGTGGTTGGATCTAGAGTCCGTGATACAGGAATTGATTCATGATAGTAGCAATGCTATTATAAGGGCATTAGGATTAAGAGTGTGAGTGCTACCTGCCCTAAGTACCTGCATAAGATGTAAAGGACAGAAACAGCTGTGCTTTTGCCACCTTCTGTCCATCGTGAACTTTTTCTTCTCTGCAATGCCAACCTGCTTTGGAGCCAGCCAACTGTGGACTGAAACTTCTATCAGCTTGAGCTACCTAAGCTGTTTTTCCTTTAACTTTGGATGTTGAGGATCTTGTCTCAGCAATGAGAGAAAAGTAACTTAAGAAAGAATTTGGGACTGGAGAAACAGGGTCATTGCTGTGACTATTCCTGACCAGGTGGTTCCCAAGTCTTTATCAATGGCTTGTGGGAAGAGTTTGGAAAGCTTTGGAAATGCTGGATGAAAAAGGAAAGTAGGAACACCTCAGGCTGTTCTGTATGGTAGATTCTGGTCAGAGCTCAGTAAAAAGCTGGTAAAGACCACACTGGAGAGGATTCTTCTGGGAAGAAGAACTGCATTGGTTGCTGGAGTCCAGTCAGTGAATGTTACGGCTTAGCAGAAAGTTTGTTTGCATTTTGCTCATGTCCAGAGGCTTTGCCTGAGACTGAGATTAAGGACAGTGGACTAAATAATCTTGCAGAAGAAATTTCAAGGCAGTTGAATGTTGAGGTGGTGGCATGGGGGCTTTTAGCCATATCTATGTTAAGATTCAAGAGCAAAGAGCCCAGTCGAATGACTTAAAACATTGTGAGTTTGGTCAGAAAGGAAGCAACAGTAAAGTTGTGACCTGCAAAGATGGAACAGAGGAGAAAAGACTAGCAAGAAAATGTCAAGTATTTCAGAAGAGGACAACAGAAAAGACAGCCTGAAGGTATCACAAGAACACTAGGACTCCACTTCTCACAATCTCAAAATTGCAGTAGTGGAAAACTTTGCTTTCAGAAGGCAGCCACAGTACGCCGTGTTGCAGAATGCCAGCAGCCTAGGGGATCTGTTCGCTGGATTGGGTTTAGAGGGCTCAGTGATTCAGGCACTTGGTCTCTACAGTTAAGGGAGAGGGAAGCCTGGCTACTGCTCTAGCTGGCAGCAGACCTTGGCATCATCCATTGCCAGGCAATGTGTCCCTGACAGGGCAGTGTAGCTGGGAGTGTAAAGACACAGGTGCAGTAGAGACCCTATAAGTTTGGAGAAGTCAGGAAAGTGGATCAGCTGAAAAAAAATTGCAAGGACAGAACAGATGTGGCCCAAGAGAGAAGCCATAGGTACTGTACTCCCAAATATTGAGTACAGTTATCCAAGTATTGTAATCTCTTTTTTAGTCTTTCTCACAATCCAAAAAGCTATATTTATAATCCCATTGAGACGTCATTGGAATCCCAGCAAGTTAATTCTAATCTACCACGTCCAATGCAACCAATGGCGAGAATAAAGACACCAAGACATATTTCAAGTTAAGGGCAGCCAAAGGGGCCTAAGTCTAATCCCTGTGAGGATGTGTGGACAAAGGCTTTGATCCTAGGCCTCTCCCAGAATTTATGATCCTGTGAGGAATCGGGGTGGCTCAGGGATGAATGACAGTGAGCACAGCAGGAACTACGTGAGTAACTTGAGCTGCCTAGCCAGATAGTGAAGAAAACATCTCTGCAAAATGCAGGGATAAGGATATGCAGGATCAATCTGCATAATTTAATTAAGGTAGCAACTGCATTGTTTTAGGAGGCTGTTGCTTCAGTTTCTGATATGTAAACTTTTGTGCCCTGGCGATTCATAGCCTCTTTACCATGAGGTCCTACCTTGTTGACATTCCTGAAGCTTATGGCTCTACCATCGTGCAGTGCCCATATCTTCTGTAGAGAACACTGAGAGGAAACAGGAGACTGTCTGATAGCTTTAGAGATTACACACCAGTACCTCAGCTAGCCTTATTTACAATGCTTAGAGCCAATTAAAGTGAAAAAAAAAATCATAGTCAGCTCTGTACATTTAAGTATAAAAAAATAAGTCTCAATATAATCAAAGTTGTAGCAATTGTTCTGCATTCAAGGAGAGTCACTCAAATTGTTTCTCACACATAGGAGCTACAACCACTGGAAGTGCTATAGGAGTGGATTCCCCCAGCCCTGTGGAGCTCACATCTAGCCACAGATTGCCAAGGATGCTGGACACTGCACTACAGGATTTAAGAGCTGCACTGCTAGATTTTGGACTTGCTTTGGTCCCATTCCTTTGTATTCCTGTATTTGTAACTTTTGGAAAAATAATGTCTGTCCTATGCCATTGAATATTGGAAGTGTTTAACTTTTGTTTCATTTGTACAAAGGCTAGAAGCTAACAGTTTGCCTTATATCTCAGAAGAGATTTGACACTTGGACTTCTCAGCAATGCTGAAACTGCTAAGAATTTTGGCAACTCTTGGAGATAGACTAAATGCCTTTTGCATAAAGGGGTATACATGAGTATTTGGGAGACCAGGGGTGGAATGTCTAGATCACTTCCAAAGCTTCATGTGATCATATTGGGGGCTTCTTCAGAACTGGCTGGATCTAGAGTGTGTGATGCTGGGATTGATTCATTGGCACAGAGATTAAGGGTGTGAGTGCCACTTACCCTAAGTACCTAGATAAGATATAAGGGATAGAAGTGCTGTGGTCACCCCTAGTTGCCCTGCTACCTTATGCCTACTGGGGGCTGTTTCTCCTCTGCAGCTCGACCCTGCCTTGTAGCTAGCCAATTATGGAGTGAAACCTTGGCCAATTTTGAGTTAAATAAAACTTTCCTCTTTTAACTTTGGGTTTCAAGTATTTTCTTACAAGAAAAGTAACTAAGACAGGTGTGCTTTTCTTAATTACATCTTTTCCTTGATATTAATTCAGAAGGAAGAACTTCTGAATTAATCAATCATGTGGAAGGCTTACGTAAGCCCCGATGGCCAAACTCCAAAGGTCACTGCACCTGTCATAGGTAAAATGATCACAGTTAAGGAAATATTGGCAAAAGAACATGGCTGCATGCCAAGAACAATAAAAAGTAACTTTGAACTGTAATACCTACTTACACTCAATAGGGAAGAATTATATACAGTACAATTTGTCTTCAAAATAATTGCTCTAGGATTGTCGGGGTAGAGAACAAAAGTCAGCCAAGAAGCAAGCCCTCCCTGCAAACTGGTGCCATGCCTGGGCCACTGGGGGAAGAGCCAGATGCCAGCCCCTACTGGATGCACGCTGGGAAACAAGAGCCAACACTCCACCCCTACCCCGCCACCATAAGTGACCGGCTGATCTGAAGAAACACAGGCTGTGATGATGGCTATGGAGGTGGAATACAACGTAATGCTCGTGGTGTTTAGTGCTTTACTGACTTTGCAGGCCTAAAGCCAGTAGTCTGAGCATCTATTCAGAGGGTGGCAATATGCAGTGTGGCATCTAGGGGGATTTCCTTCTGAGGGTAATGGCCATTGTTAATCCCTACTGTCTTATTTTGAAATCTTGTATCATTTTCGTTGTTTTGTTTAGTTGGGTTTTGTTCTGTTTTTTTTTTTTTTTTTTTTTTTTAAATCGGTACCGTGGATCGAACTCACAACCATGCACTTGCAAGGCAGGCACTTATGCCACTGAGCTAAATCTCCAGCCCCTGTTCTATTTTGTTTTGATTTTGTTATATCCAATGGCATGAGCAGCTGTTTCAAAGACAGCAAGATATATTTTGGTAGCAATTTTGGATTTACTATTTTATCATGTTTTGAAGTCCTTTACTGCATTCATTGTTTTGTTTTTATTGGTTCTAGTATGTTCGGTTTTGTTTGATTTTACAATGTCTGAAGTTATGGGCAGCTATTTTGAAGACAGCAGGTGACCACTGCTGATTTCCTACTGTTCTGAAGTCCTGTGTCACTCACACTGGTTTGTTTTGATTGGCTTTGTTCTGTTTTCTTTGGCTTGATTATATTTATCTTTAAAATAAAACTAAAAGTAGTTTTAAAAAATAATAAGCTTTGAATATGGAAAAAGAAGGCACAAGCCAAGGGACGCTGGTGGCCCCTCAATGCTACACAGTGCAAAGGGCAAGATCTCTCTTTAGAGTCTTGAGAAAGAGTCTGTCCTGAGGCCACCTCCCCTTCAGTGTTTTCATCCTCTATGAACTGTCAGATAATAAATCTGTGATTTAAGTCACCAAAAAAAAAATCACTCTAACTCTCAACCCTAATGTAATCAGTGACTATACCCTTCAAATAATCTTCCCTTGCTTGAGTCGGGGTCTCACTACCTAGGAGAAGCTGGCCTTGAGTGTACTCTGTCACGCAGGCTGGCTTCAAACTCATGATCTTCCTGCCTCAGCCTCCAGAGTACTGAGATTACAGGCATGTACCATGACACTCAGCTCAGATCACAGACTCTTGAGGTTTAAACTTTACCGACTCAATGAACTGTGATAATTAAATGAGATCAGTAATGAAATCATATTAAATGCACAACAAAGAGAATAAAACCTTTCAACAGGCTATTTGACACCTCCCGTCTGGCCCCTAACACAGGTAGCATTGTCTCTAAGTGACAGCTATCCAGAGAAGCTGGCTTTTAATCAGGACGTGACTGTAGGGTGAAACCAGGGAGGGAGCTTAGTTAGGCAAAGAACCCTAAACAGATGCTGCGTTGCTAGCCCTTGAGGCTGGCTTCAGTAACCCCAGGGTGCTGATGTCTGGCTTCATTATTTCTTAATAAACAAAGCAAGCTAGAGTATATTGAGTTGGCATCAGATGTCTAAATAGTTACTTCAAAATATCTGATCACAGATCCTTTTCTATACTTTGCTTAAGCAGACAGCCTTAGAACAATTTCCGCAAAAACACTTCTGTAAGGGTATGTGGGATAGGTTAAAATAATAAAATTGTTTTTCCCAAACAGCTTAGTCCCAGATGAGTATGGAAATAAATATTTCCCATTTAGGTAACTAAGGATGTTGGGCCAGTAGATCCTTCTAATAATACCTAAAAACAAAATTATATAGGTACATAGCTAATTCAAGGCCAGCCTGAACTACTACATAGTGAGACTCTGTCTCAAAAAAATAAACAAAAAAACAAAATAAAACATGCAAATCTAAAATTCCCTAAACAAACAGGTCCTCAAGTTTGTTTGGATCAGAACCCTTCACACTTACTGAATCAGAACATCCAAAGTTGAGGTCAAGGAAGCTGTATTTTAAAGAATTTGCCTAAAGTCATGTGTGGTAGCGTTTGCCTGTAATTTCAGGACTGGGGAGGCTGATGCAGGAGGAAGGCTGGGATTCTGAGGCCAGGCTGGACTTCATAGCAAACCCTGGCCTGAACTATATAGGACTATTTGAGATCCTGTCTCAAAACAAAACAAAAAGATTGCCCAGATTATTCTGACGACCTCCTTCCATTAAGGTAGCATTTAGTTCACAGATACAAGTGGAAACTCATTCAAAGTAAACCTCATTATGTAGACTGCAGTCTGACTGCTCAAATATGCTTTACAGGAATGATTAAAAAAATACAAAATAGGTTTACCCTGACTTTCTAACCCAGTTCTTAGGCCTTCAGAGACCCTGTTAGCGACTTCTCAGGTGTCACCCCAAGGCATCTGCCAGTACCAGCAAGCAGCTTGGGCTACCTGAAGGCCTAAATGCAGACCCTGCCCTTGGCTCTTGAAAGCAGACCTCTGGGTTGAGCTCAAGAGCGTCTGTTTTCCCCATGTTCCCTGGAAGGTTCTGGAACAAACTAATGTCAGCATGTCAATTGCAGGTTCAAACCCCAGGTCTGCTGTTAGTTAGATGCGGTCTTGGGGAAACTCACAATTCTCATTGGCTTTACTTCTGTCACCAACAAACTTGACTTTCTCTAAACACCTCCTGGTTCCAACACAAGGAGATTCAGTTAAAAATGAAGGCTCACCTTCTTGGCAGAGCTGTAGATATCTTCCCGGTTACTGCAGTCTACCACGAAGGCATGAGCCTGGGCACCCAGCTTCCTGCATTCGGCAGCTGTTTCCTCAATGCCATGCTAGAAGCAAGCAGTGAAAGGCATGAGACAAAATTGATGACAGGGACATAGCACCCCAGCAGCTAGAGACATAGCAGGAAGACATGCTCTCAAAAGAAAAGCTGTAGCTGGATATGCTGGGCACACCTGTAACCCCAACTATGCAGGAGAAATACAAGCTCATGCCCAGCCTGAGAAATTCAGTGGCTTTTCTGTCTCAGGGAAAGAAAGGTGTATTATTTATTAAAGGATTTATCTCAGTGCAAAGGCCCTGGGTTCAACAACTAGTACCGCAAAACAAATACCAACTTCACAAGGTATTTTATTTGGATCAATGAACATTATGTCTGAGATGCAATCAACTGAGGAATCTGTCCCTGTATATTTGTAATAAAACATACAAAGGTGGGCTGGGGATTTAGCTTAGTGGCATAAACAACTGCCTGGCAAGCACAAGGTTGTGAGTTTGATTCCCGGTACCAGAAAGCAAAACAAAACAACAACAACAAAAAAATACAAAAGCCAAAAGGCAAAACATCATAGTGGTCAATAGGAAATTATCCTGATAAATGCAGTAGGAGAAAATATCAGATTTGTTAACAAGAAATTGTTTACACATATAGGGTAAAAGAGAACTGAGGGGGTGTGGTGGCACACACCTGTGATCCCAACACTTGGGAGGCTGATACAGGACGATTTCTAGCTCAAGGTTAGTTTGGGCAATATTGTTAAGATCCTATATCAAACAACAACAACAACAAAAACAGTGCAGTGGGATCAAAAAGCATTTTTCCAAACTGATCACACCACACACAGATTCAGACAATAGGAGTCCAGCATATCACAAAGTCCAGCGTATCACAAAGCACTCTTGTGGTCTGCACTTTGCTTCACATTTGATATGGCGGCACCAGACCTCTGGATATGCTCGCCAAGTCGGTATCCTCACGGTTAACTTGGGCATGCTAGGAAGCTAGAGAAGGCTGAAGACTGTTATACGCAGCCACCAGCACAGAAGGGCCAAACCAGCCTGAACCACGTGTTGCAAAATGGGCAGCAGACTTCAGGCAGTCCCAAGGGGGCCAGCCATTTCTAATCACGGACAGCTGATAGCTGGGTTTTTACAACCCACAGCGTTTGCATTTGCTCTGCTAGTCAATGGACCTTTTCACATAACCACTATACCCAAATTATATGTACAAAATTATTAATGTAATATTCTATAATCCTTCTGGATAGTTTTTAAAATCGAGGGGGTAATTTCCACCCAAGCACATCTCCATTCAGACTGGTCTGCTGCAGAGCTTTTCAGCCTCGGGGGCAAGCGCTGGGATCCGAGACCCCACAGGACAGCTTGTGGCTGTACCTTTGGCCTCCTTTGCTGTGCCACGCAGGGCTCTGCATGGGCTGATCCCTTTCTGCCAAGAGCATAGCATCTTCTGAGTGTCTATCCTTTTTAGCAAATCTGGGGATGGAACCCAGGTCCTCCACACTGACCTCCACCCCCTGCCAGTTTCTACTTTTTATTTTTTTGGGACCAGGAATTGAACTCACGACCTAGTGCTTGCAAGGCAGGCACTTATACCGCTGAGCTAAATCCCTGCCACTCTCTATTTTTTGAGACAGGGTCTTGCTACTTCATCCCGGCTGGCCTCAAACTTGGGATCCTCCTGCCTCAGCCTGCTGAGTAGCTTGAGAGTACAGGCTCACTGATGACCTCTGCTCCTAACTGTCTCCACCTTTAATGTTTATGTTTTTTATTCTTTTGCAGTGCTGTGAATGGAACTCAGGGCTATATGCACAGTAGGCAAGCACTCAGCACTGAGCTACACCTCGGCTTCTACTCTCTTTCTTCATAAAGCCTCTCTGGCCACCTGGAAATGAATGTTCCCACCTCCACCCTCCCCATGCTTTTCCACATCTTGCTTCAGTTTGAACTCGACGTTACACAGCATGCCACCTTATCTTTGGCACGTAAGGTCTGTGCTGCTTCGGTGCCATAGGCTTGATTCTGCATGGCAGTGGGACCAAGCATACAGTAGCTGCTCATGCTGTTGTGAGCAAACGCCTTTCACTCCGGATCAGAGACAATGTGCAGACTAGTACGAGGCACAGAGATCACTGACCTAGTGTCCTGCTGGCCAGGAAGTGTAGCTAACTCTGTCCCCCAGTTACTACCTGCCAGACAGGATGCTAAATTCCACGGTGTCCAATCTCAACTCTTCCTCCAGGCTTCCTGAGGTAGGTACTTTTACTCTGTCCACTTTACAGGTTCAGAGGTGGCCTGGCCCCAGTCTGACCACACCACAAGGCCCCGACTCAGCCACTGGGCTTGGCTGGGCCTGGTTTGTACGTTTCATTGCACAAGTAGGTATTTAACCTCTACTTTCTTTACTAGACTGGGGGGAGGGGACCCCGGCTCTGGTTTGCTGCACTGTTCCTGGGGTCCAGGCAACAGACACTCTAAGTACTTGTGACCACTGTCTCCATCGGCCACCCCTTCACAGTGTCACCCACCTCGAATTCTTGTTTATGAGATTGGAAGTCGAGTCCCATATAAGGGGCAGCATTTCAGGCCACTGAACCTCTCTGCTCCAGCCCCAAAGGTAAAAGAGGTCAGATTTGAGGTCTTCCCCACCTCCTTAAGCCTGCATCTACCCCTGTACTGGCTGAAAAGTTACATTTGAAGTTCTTTTTCTTTCCATTTTATTGTTTTTACTGACGATGATCTCCCAAGCCCAGTGGAGGTGTGTGTGTGTGTGTGTGTGTGTGTGTGTGTGTGTGTGTGTGTGTATTTAACCCTAGCACCCGGAGGCAGGAGGTCAGCTTTGTGATCCAGGCCAGCCTAGGCCACAGGGAGTTCAAGGCCACCTTGAACTACATAGGGAGACGCTGTCCCAAAAATAAAAGTAAAAAATAACTAAGTCTAAAAGACGATTTCATAAATCACTTTTGGCAATAACCACAGCACAGTTCTGCTGCTTTCTTTTGGGTACAATCTCTAAACTACTGCAGAAGGGGCTCGGTAGGCACAAGCCTCCCACTCTCACACAACGCTCATTACAACTATCACTTTTCCATACAGTTAGGAGACGGGGTCTGTGACCTTGGGAGATTGCAGATGAATTGCTGGGTCTAAGCGCGGCTCGGTGTCCAGTGGGATCTGCGAGCGGGCAGTGGCCGGAATCTGTCCCCTCTAGGATCATTCCTCAGGTGATTCGGCGACAATCAACTCCCGGCCCGCCCACATAGCGGCGATAGTAATTCTCACCGGGCTGCTTTGCTAAGGGGTGGCTGCAGGCAAAATGTGGCCGTGTCCACAGACCAAAGGCACCGGAAAGCAAAGCCCCGTCGGCGCCGTTACCTTATTGATATCCCAGAGAACCAGTCTGCTTTTGCGTTTGGCAAATTCGTAGGCAGTGAGTCTCCCGATTCCATGTCCGGCTCCAGTGACGAGGACGATTTCTCCGGCGACTGACTTTTTCTTCTTAGGGATGAAAAGCTTGATGAGAGACTCTAAGCAGCAGATGAGGAGCAGGGGCAGGAGCAGGAGGAATCTCAGGAGAATCCTCATCTCGCGGAGCGCCCGGGCGGCCACGGCCCCGTCCCCGTCCCGACCACTCCGCACGGCTCCCAGGCCTCTGGGCTCAACCCCGGGAGCACACAGCGCAGGGTTCCTGCCTCGAGGGACGAACCGCCGGACCGCTGCTTCCGCGGGGCGGGCTCTGCTCGGCGCCTGCCATTGGCCGGGCCGCAGCGCAGCGCCCTGGGGATGCGGAGGGGACGCGCGGGAGGGGACCCGAGGGGCCGAGCTCGCGCGCCCGGGGCGCACCGACCTCCCCGAGTGGGAGGTCCCTGATTTCCGCGAACCACGCCTCTGGGAAGGCGCACGGACTGCGTCCCAGTCCCGATCCTGCTTGCAAAGTTGCTGCTGCTGCTCAAGAGATACAGATGCAAACGCTGCGTCCCCGCAAGACCCGGGAAGAGCCAGCGGTGCTGGGCCCTGCAAAGAAACGAGCCCACCCCACAGTTCGGTTTGCATTAAGCACTATCTCTGGAAGACAAGAAATTCTGTCTTCCAGCAGCCAGGTATAATCAAGTTTCAAGGAAAAAACAGAAACAGAAGCTTGTATTAAACGGGACTGTTCCCACGAGGAAGGACAATACCTTCGGGGAGCCCCTTGATCTATTAGAATTCGGAGACAACGAAGCATGCATTGCACTCACCAGCGACGCCAGCCGCTCAGAAGGCCAAGCAGGAGGGCTGCACGTTCAAGCTCAGCCTGGGCCATTTAGCAAGGCCCTGCCTCAAGCGGAAAATAAAAGTGGCTGGAGATGTGGCTCAGAGGCGAGGTGTCCCAGTGCTGGTAGATAAAATCACCCTAAAAAAGAAAAATAGAAAGCACACAGCTTCACACCTGAAAGCTACCTGTGCGAGTTTGGGTTTCCTCACCTGTCTCTACTTATGCACATATGCGTGTGTCTGTAGACTGAATATTCAATAGAAACTAACCAGTGATTTAAAAATAAATCACCCCGAGGGGTAACTTAGGGGTGGAATGTTTGCCCACGTGCAGGTCCAAGGCCGATAGGAGACACTGATGACAGGATGAAACTGAAGAGGGAGGTGGAGATCAGGGCTGGGGCTACATGACAAGCAGCTGGGCGGGATGTGCCGGAGATCTTAAAAACCTGGGCCCAGCCCGAACCAATCAGAAAGCGACATTGTCACACACACACCTCTGAATCTGTCGCTCTTTGCAGGACCAACCAGGAAAATGCTATCTTCAATTCTTTTACACTTGGAAAAAACCAAGCCAGTGTCTCCTGCCCCAAGGTCTGCCCAATGTGGCTAGCAGGGCCGGCCGGGCGGCTGCGCCTTGCTTGCAAGGGGGAGCCCGGCCCGGCCCGGGAATTCTGAGCACGAAGACCCGTCCCGGTCTGGGTCGCCGGTCCCGTCCAGCCGGGGACAGGCCCGCCTCTGCCCACCCTCGGGAAGCGCGCATCTCCCGCCCCGCATCAGCGCAGGACTTTGTCCCGGACACCGGGAACCTGGAAAGGACCCTCCGGCCTCCACCGGCTGCCCCTTCCCGCTTGGGTGCGGTGAGAGCCTAGTAACGGGTCCTGAATTACTTTTTTCCACTTGGCGTTGTAGAGAGTGCCTGGATTTAGGCCTGGTGGGAGACACTCCAGGCCCTGGAGGGTGCGAGGCCATCCTTCACACTCAGGAGCCAAAGTCACAGGTTGGGCACACTCTCTGCTCCCTCTTAAGCAGCCATGCCTCCTTCCTGGGGGTGAAGAAGGATGTTAAAAACACAGGTAGGTGGGCAGGAGACAAGGGAAAGCACCACTAAACACTGTATTTTTAAGAACACTGTAACTGCCAGGCATGGCACTCCTGTGATCTCAGCACTTGGGAGACTGAGGCAGGGGGATCCCAGTAAGCTTGAGGCCAGCCTGGATTATATAGTGAGTTCAAGGATTGTCTGAACTGCATACAGGACCCTGACTCAAACAAACAAACAAACATACAAACAAACAAATCCAGCACTGAAAAGACTGCAACCTCCGGGCCTCAGCTGAAGTCACCCCTGCATCCATATCTGAGTTCCCCAGCAATGCTGACCCTCCAAAGACCAGTTTCACTGAGAAAGTAGGGAGCAGGGGCCTGATCCTAAAGTAAAGGAGCAGACTGAGAAAATACAGTGAACATCTAAAATATCCATCTTAAAAAATAAAACAACACTGGAGCCCATATGTGCTAACCAGACCACTACCTTCTGGAGGAGAGACTCGTTTTCCTGGAATTTCCACCTCAAAAAAGCATCTGTGCCCCTATTCCAGAAACGGTCCTCTTTTTGGAGGGCCCATGCTGCCTTTGAACACATACTTTTTGAATTTGTGCCTAATAAAGCTCTTCCTCAGGAGGTTGAGTCAGGAAGATCATCATGAGTTCGAGGCCAGGCTGGGCTACTTGGTAAGTTGAAGGCCAGCCTAAACTGCCTAGTGAGACCGTGTCTCAATCCCCGCTACCAGTACAATACAATACAATACAATACAATACAATACAATACAATACAGTACAATACAATACAATACAAATGGCAAGTTTTAACCCATTAGGTTGACCAAGGTTTCACTGGTCAGGAGAAAGAACCCAGCACTGGGAAGCAGTCCTCCTTGGCGTCTATGTGGTTCTCATCTTTCTGAACGTCTGTGTCTTAATGCGTGAAGTTGCAGGAGTCCCGTGATGTTACAGTGCTCGCCTGGCCATTCACCTCTACGTGAATTGGGGAGTCTGTGAGGGTGACCAGCGATCTTGTGAAGATGGCTGTCACATGATGCATGACAATTAGCTTTTGACACAGGGAAAATATATGATTTTATACCCTTGAGATTCCTAAAAGTACCTTAAATTAGAAGTGCTTAACATATGCTCTACGTGGACATCTTAAAGTCAGTCTCTTCCAGCCTCTGTGTTGTGTGTGTGTGTGTGTGTGTGTGTGTGTGTGTGTGTGTGCCTGCATGTGTGCATATGGTAGTGAGGACTGAACCCAGTTACACTCACAGAACTGTTTTAAATTTTGAGAGAGAATCTTACTGAATCCCTAAATTGCCCAGGGTGGGCTCAAACTTTTGATCCTTCTGCCTCAGCCTCCCAGAGTGCAGGAGTTAAAGCCATACCCTGCTGCCAGCTGCTGTCTGCCATGGTATTTATTTACTTTATTCTTTTTATATTTATTTATTTTGTCTTTTTGAGACAAGTTCTCACTGTGCAGTTCAGGCTGGCCTTGACTCATTTCGTAGCCCAGTTAATCTTGCAACAACCGGCCTGCCTCAGCCTCCAGAATGCTGGGATTACCAGGATGCGCCACCATACCCAGCTCTGCCATAGTGTTTAAAAACAGCTGCAGCCAAAGGGTAAGGACAAGGGTTTTCATCAATGTCTTGAGCACTTAGCAAGCTAGGCTTTATCCAATAAATGCTTCACATATGCATACTTTTAGTTTCTTTTACAATAACCATAAGCTGTAGGTTCAGTTGAAATCTTGCTTACATGAACAGAAGAGTAAAGGGTTAAGGAAATTAAACAAAACTGTCTGAGGTCATAATGCAAACAAAAGTTAAATTTAAACCCAGCTATGTCATTTCTGGTTACTTAACCTGTTTCTGGTTTTTCTCCCTCTCATGTGTGTGCATGCGTGTGTGTGTGTGTGTGTGTGTGTGTGTGTGTGTGTGTGTGTGTGTTTCTGGGGATCCAAGCCAGAGCCCCACACATGCTAGACAAACCCTCTATCCTGAGTGACAGCTACAGCCCAGTGTCACTTCCCCCGAGGTCTGGGTCGGTAAAATTGATGTAATAGCAGCTAAATTGTTGTGAAGAGTAGACAAAACACATGTGAGCACCAGGTGGGTGCACAAGAGTGAACGAGATGCACAGAAAGTACACTTTGCACACACAGGCCCAGTACACTTGAGCAGTCCTCAGTAAGAGGTGCATGCATGTGCAAAGCTGGCTCGAGTGCGGAAGACAGCAGGCAGCCAGGGAAGGCCTGGGCCCGAGCCAGGAGGCAAATGACCAGGTCTTGGTCAGGAAGTAGGTGGGCAATGAAATCCAAAGATGTAATGCATGAGGTGGCAGCAAGGTGACAGACACCCACCATGATTTTTCCTGCCTCTCTGGAAACTGTTCTTCCTTCTCATTTTGTTAGTTAATGAACCACTTGGATGAGACAGTGGCCAAGAGGCTCCTGCAGACAGACACTTGCTGCATGCCTTGAATCCTCATAAGCCCGTTTGTAGTTTGTTTGTTTGATTGGCTCTTTTGGATGAGACAGGGTCTCCCTTTGTTGTCCAGATTGGCTTTGAATTCAAGGTGATCTTCCTGCCTCAGCCTTGTGATTGCTGGGATTACATGCCAGCAACACCAAGCCTCGCTCCCAGTTCTAGTTTAAGTAAGATGATTTTAATCTCACCGGTTGACCTTAGCTTGACTGGGAACCCTGCTCATTGCTTGTTATAAAAACTGCTAGACCATGAGTCCCCATGGCAGCACAATCTCAGATCCTTTCTCCACTAAAGGAGTGATTGATTGCTCTCTTCTTAACAAACATTCCTCCTGTCAATCTGCTTTGTCCTCACATTTATTCTTTGACTTCTTGAGACATACACCAGATTACTCCTCCTCCCATGAGATTCTAGGTGTACTTAACAACTTCACAGGCCAGCTGACAGCAGTCACACCCACTGCAAAGCATGCTGGGAAGGACACCTAGGAGCCCTGGCAGAGTGCCTGAAGGTGCCTAAGGACACACTGTTAAGAGCTTCCCTGTTACCCTGGAACAGCTGCCTTTGCAGTTGTCCCTGAAGTCTGAATTTTACAGCTAGACCATGTTACAAATGAGCTTCTGCGACCCCATCTTCTTCTTTTAAAGTAGTCTACAGAGATTCCTTTCCCATCCTCTTCATGGTCCAAGAACTTTACATTTTGTAATCTCATTGAAGCATTATCGGAATTTTGGAGAGTTAATTCCAGTCCACCACTTTCACAGCAACTCATGGCAAAAATAGACACTAACACATATTTATAATTATGGGGAGCCAAAAGACCCTGAGTCTGGCCCAGATGAAGGTTCAATACAACAGAGGCCCTGACCCAGGGCCAAAAAGATTTTATTATTAATTTGTGAAGAAGGCAGTGGCTAGGGGATGAGTGAGTAGGAGCCCTGTGAGCTGGGCTATGCAGGAAGCCTGAGA